GTTGCTGATTCGCTAATCGAATACGCAGGGTTACTTCACAATATTTTGATGCTACGCACAAGTTTTATTTTTGTAGCGTATCTGTAATGTTCGTTGCGTATTTGGTACGCTTGGATTTTCTTTTACTGCGTATTTCTGCATTTCTGATGCGTATTTTACGCAGATACGCAGCTTATCTAGAGCTCTGGACATTGAAGAGAACGAACAATGGAGTGTTACATTCTGACCCGTAAGTGCACAGCAATGAAATACATATCTCATTTGGGAACGTTAAACGACACTAACATTATCGGAAGCGCCAGTAAAATATCCATTTTAGAAATTACGGTGAATATTAATCTTTCTTCAGTGGAGAAAGATTACGATGCTACGTTCGCAATAAACGTCATGCAAAGAGTATGACAATTAAGATTTGACATTTGTGAACATATCTGAGTATTGTTTTACAAAATTATATTTGAGTATTAGTGTAAGTAAAGGTCATCTTGTCGCCGACTGCTAAATTCTATTTTGGGGGAAATGTGCATATGTTCAGGTGAGTCGGTGAGAATTAACGTGGGTGAAATTTAACGTCACCTTCAATAGATTTGTATTTAGATAGATAGGTTAATATGGGGCGGCGGGGTAGCCTAGTGGTTATAGCGTTTTTCCCCCTTCCTAACGTATGACTGGAAGATGTGGGGTACCTCACTTGCGCATGTTACACCGACTGAGGGTTTTTAAATAGAATCGTATCGCGTAGCCATCGCTCCACATTATAGAACATGTTGTTTGATGTTTTACGCCGCACGCAGCAATATTCCAGCTATATGACAACGTTTTGGAAACAATCAAGTCTGAACCATATAATTCCGTGATTGACATCATGAGCATCGACCTACGCAATTGGCATACGATGACATGCATCAACCAAGTCTTACCCCTCGATGCCGTTAGTCGCCTCATAAATCTTGGGTTGCCATAGACCAAATCTAACCCGGATCTCCACAGAACAATTAGAACAGAATGTCTATAAACGGTAAAGGGATATTATCTGAAACCGATGTTAGTTTAATTAGTGCAAGTTTGTTTGCGAATGTTTTGATATGGACTCTTTATGGTGAGTTCAAGCGACTTAAAAACAAGGAATGTGTGATTTGGTTGGATTGTGTAATGCAGCCTCACTGTCGACATTAACACCGTAAACTTCATAACAGTACTAAAACTGGCGTCACTAGTTTTCGATTTGATAAAATGTGTGAAGATTATTTCTTGTGTCCCCCGACGTGATATTGCTGAAATATTGATAAAAGCGGCGTAAAACCATACGCACTGACTCACACGGTAAATGCAGAGATTAATAATCTGATGTAATTTATGCATGGATTTTTTTAATTCATATATATTTAATGGAAAGCACCGCGGGAGGTGATTTTAATTGTCATGGCGACACAACATACTGACATGAGGACCAGTAGATATACACACAGATCCAACAATGCTGAAACACATCGTGAAAACTGCATCCAACTCATAACACTGACAAGCTTATCAACATTTGGCAAACAAAAGTGAATAGAAAATATTTTTTCAAATGATATAATAATATAAATTTCTCTTAGTCGCTTGTGATATATTCACCATTCATACAACGGACAGCAAAACAGAAATCATGCAGAATAAATATTATGTCAATCAAGCCAGTTGCAATCGCTATATCAATATGCCTTTCGGTTCAACATGGGTTATTGCGACTGTGGTATTGTGCAGATATTTTAAGAGTCAATCATTTCTACCAGAATCATGACTTGACGTTACGGTATGTAGGTGAATTGAGTTTAACGCCGCTTTGAACAGTATTCCAGTGATAACACGATGTGCCAACTGACCAGGGGAGGTAAACAGGAGATGATGCAGGAATTATTAATCACTTCGGGGAAACCCACGAGCAGGGGTATGGTGCTGGAAGACCTAGAAACATAATCGGAGCACACCGGGATTCGAACTCATGATCATAGGTTTCTTGCGTGCCCAAGGGACGCAACTCTGCACAGCGGGTTGTGGCCCCTGGGACGACCGGGCCACACGTGCCCCTTTGTGGTACGCCCAGACGTTCAATTGTTAAATTACTAAAGACAGGGAGCATTGTTGTTGCATTAAGTGTTTAAGAGGTCGCCTTCTGCCGAGGCAATTTCGGCTGACCTGTCCCTCTTTGGGACTCCTGTGTGTGAGTAGGGTACACATATCTATTGTGAGTTTGGTGTTCACATAATTTCTGTTTTTGTATTGATATGATTTCTATTTTCTTATATTGATATGATTTCATTTTTATCCTTGGCTGCTCTGTTTATATACGTTCGAGTAGCTGTCCATCTCTCAGAAATTGAGTTAGTTTGGCCTTCGCTATTGCATCTCTTGGCTTTAGGAGATCTATGACAGATAGCGGATCTAACTGCAATTCTTGTTTTAACCTAGCCCGGGCTGGGGCATGGTCTTGACATTCTAGTAACACGTGACCAATGGTTTCAGCCTGATTGCAAGATAAACAAACCTTGTCATAGTGCTTTTTGTGACCAAGTCTGGGGCGCGAGATGGCAATTTCAATTTTCCTTTCATTTGAGTATGAGTTTGGCTTTTGTTGGAACTTGGGTTGAATTTTGTATAGCCATCTGCCGATCTTACTTGCGTCCCTTTGGGCTTGCCATCTTTCTGCTATGGAGGCTTTGCTTTTGCTTTTTATCTCTAGTTTACTAAAGGGAATAGGCTGTATATCCGCTCTGTCTAGAGCTAGCTTCGCCAGTGAGTCTGCTTTTTCATTTCCATGAATATCTATGTGAGAGGGGATCCAACACAGCTCCACCTGTTGCCCTTGGTCCGAGAGTTTTGTATATTCGTATAGAATATTGTTGACTGTGTTTGGCCTGGAGTTTGAGTTTCTGCCGACAGGGAGCGCGAAAGTATTGTCATGTATACCCGATATTTCACAACTACACAAAGGGGCATCCACTCGTCTGAGGCGCAGGAGTTCACTATACAGAGTTACGTCCCTTGTTCGTGCATTGGTTATTGATTATTGGATTATGTTTTATTCGCGCGTTTTATAACCCCTGTTTATCCATGCCTCCATGCTCCTAGGTTTTACTAAAAGTGGTAATTTCTACGACATGTGTCACTTTGGGCTGAACAATATTGTTCAAAGCAGCGAAGCCCCAACTAGTGTGAGAGTGAGTATGGTTTTACGCCGCTTTTTGCAATATTCCAGCAATATCACGGCGGGGTACACCAGTAATGGGCTTCACACATTGTACCCGTGTCGGGAATCGAACCCGGGTCCTCGGCGCGACGGACGAACGCTTCAACCACTAGGCTACCCGACCGCCCCTAAGCCCCAACTAACTCAATGTGTTCATGTCGTCAGATGAGCGGCGGTTGGAGCATGTGCATTTGACTGGGCATGTGCATCGCTCCAGATGACTACTGACTTCCCTGACGAACCCGCCTAGTTATTCTATATCACCACACATTGATTTCCGATACATGTTGATGGATGCGTCTTCTTAATAACTGTAAATAATATTTTGGTGTAAATTCTTAATTGTACCATCTACGACGTGTGGGGGTTCTTATATAAAACGTCAATGACAGAGAATAACCAGTCTCGATTGTCCGCCGAAACAGATTCCATTTGCCGTAAAAGGCTAAATAGCGGTGAAATATATGAAGGGTCATTGAAAATCAAGGGTGGCACCAGGTGTTCGCGAAAACGGTAAGCATGTCCTGCGCCCTCCGTCACAATGTGCATAAAGATAGCCAATCTACGCAAAACTTCGCTTCTTGGTATTGGCCAAGTTGGTATCAATATGCTGATTACACTTTTTTTTAATTATGTATATGTTTTGGCCAGTCCAAGTGACAGATTCTGCATCGTTAACAGTATATGACATTGTCACATTTGTGACAACCAATACAATTGTTTAATCTCCTGGCTTATCAACCGTTCATTGTTAATATGCATAAAGAACTGGCAACATCCAGTTCCCGAGTGAGCTGAATACTCTGCAGGCGCCTGTTGTTGACGATAATAGGTGCAATCAGGTGTGGGGGTGATAGATACAACAATGCTTGGAAGCCGGGTGTTTGTTTACTTACTTGCAGTTATTATGGACACATAGATTTATTTATTTACTGCAGATTTTACAGTGAATTCAGTAGTAAACGTAGAAACTGGTTTTGTCAGTTTGTACTTCCATCATTGTGGAGAAGGTTTCATTTTTTTTAACTTCATAGAAATTGTGATCTGCAACATTATATTTTGATTCTTTAGGATATTTTGCATTTACATCAAGTAGATGCTCCCCTGCTGCCGTTTACACCATACAACATTTTGAATATTTTCAAATGTATGTGATTGTGTGATTTGGGTTTGTTTAGATTTAATTGTGTCATACATTCTGCAGCAGGGGCGCGGGATATAGCCCCGTTAGTGGCAAACTCTTGCTTCTTTTGGAAGAAAATCACCTTGCATCACTGTCACTTTTGCTGCACACAATTTCCTTTTTTTTCCAACAATCTGAAGCATAAATAATTTTTCAAAGAATTTTCGGGGGCAATTTATTTTTTTTCGATAAATTACCCCCGACCCTTCCCCACTCCTAAGGATCTCTCAGGAGCCAAGCTCTCGAGGGAGATATTTTGTTTTTGTTTGTTTCTGGACAGAGTCCAACAATTGCTGTATAAACCTTTCGTTGCAAGAATTCTACTCACTTGTTAATTGACAAGCACCAAAGTGTCACCCCTCACTGACACTAATTGTTCCACATTGTTCCCACTGTTAAGAAACAGCAGATCATTAGTTAAAGGTTTTATTTGACTTGGACAGGATTTATTATCGACCTTTTATCGACTTCGTGACATTCTAATTTACACCTGATAACAACCTTACAGTGTTGGATTTTGTATAAAATGATCCCTCGGACTCGATCCTCCTTCATTGTACATTGGTGTTAGACGCCTGATCCGAGATGGGCCCGGGGACGAAGGTTGCCATTATTGGTGCAGGTGTATCAGGTCTCGTTGCGGTGAAGTCTTGCCTGGAGGGAGACCTCCAACCCATTTGCTATGAACAGTTTGACAACATCGGTGAGAATACACGTTACGGTGTCCGCAGTGAGTGGGTATGGTTACACCCGGCATTTAGCAATATTCCAGTAATAGCACGGCGGGACACACCAGAAATTGGCTTCATAAATATGTGCTAACTATTTAAAATATATACCAAAGTCCCATGCTGTGAATATCACTTTAAAGTCAAACGTAAAGTGTCTAACTGTCTTCCAAAATAATTATGTTACTGACAGAGAACAATAAAAATTTAATATTTCTCAGATTATAAACTGCCGGACAAAAAGTATAAACTTAAAAATCGGATTTGACCAAGACATTAGAAATGTTATCAAAATGTTACTAGGCTTGAAACAGTCGCCGAAACGCAGTAAACTTAACGTCCAAACCACATCTATGATACCCGTATCTAATACATCACTATCGAAAAAGAATTTCATTTTTGGCCACCATCACACATGGGTGTGTAGTTTCTTTTCCCGGCAGTATATAATGCACCTTCTTTTAAAGTTTAAAGACTCGACGTCATGTTCTTGTGTTACTGTTGAGGACTTAGTTTCCGTTGATGACAAATTCAGTAATGGCGATCGATCATTTTTTCAAAGGAGGTTTATGGAGCCCCACAGAAGAGTACAGAGAAGGCCAGGGAGCAAGGCTCTATGAGAACCTCATCTCCATCTTCTCCAAGGACATGTTTGCCTTCAGTGACTTTCCATTCTCCCAGGACACACCTCCTTGTCTAACACACGCCACCATATTCAAGTACCTCCAACGTTACTGTGATGAAAACAACCTCAGAAAGCATATAAGACTTGGAACGAAAGTTAAGAAAATCCGAAGATCCGGTGATTATGAGCTAAGCGGAAAATGGGTAGTGGAGGCGGAAGATAGTGAAGGGGTGGACACCTCTACCTATGACTACCTGTTAATCTGTTCTGGCTTCTTCAAGAGTAGCCGAATACCAGATATTGATGGACTAGGTACCTTTCTTGGACCCATAGATCATTCCAAGACATTTTGGAACGGTCAGAAGTACAGAGAGAAAACTGTGCTGGTTGTTGGTAGGTAATGTTTCTTTCCGTGATCATAGAGATGATCATCATATTCTAATGACAAAATGTTAGCAATGTTCCAGCTATATCTCGGCGGGGGACACCAGAAATGTGCTTCACACATTGTACCCACCTGGGGGTGCGAACCCGCGTCTTCGGCGTAACCCACCGCTCCAATCAAACTGGTGACGCCAGTTTAAGTACTGTAATGAAGTTTGTCGCAATACGGCGTGAATCTCGACAGTGAGGTTGCATTACACAATACAACCACATCACACATGCCTTCTTTTGAGGTTGCTTGAACTCACCACAAAGATTAGAGTCCATATCAAAACATTCGAAAACAAACTTGCACCAATTAAACTAACACTGGTTTCAGATAATATCCCTTTATCATATAATGGGCAGGTTTGCGGATAGAGATGCAAATATCAAAGGTCAAGTAGGGACTAATTTCACTGTTTACAAACAAACATGGCGTCGCGGAGGGTCGAGTAGCCTAGTGGTTAAAGCGTTCGCTCGTCACGCCGAAGACCCGGGTTCGATTCCCAACATGGGTACAATATGTGAAGCCCATTTTTGGTGTCCCCCGCCGTGATATTGCTGGAATATTGCTAACAGCGGCGTAAAACAATACTCACTGACACTGTTTTGAGTCCAGTTTAGCTGCTGTTATGCACAAACTACAAAACATCAAAATAACATTAAATATTACCATTAAATAGGGTTGCGCAGATGGATCAAGAGGGATCCATAAATTCTTTTCCTTATGTATTAATGTGATATTTCTTACTTCCTATCAGGTAACTCTAACTCTGCGGGAGAAATTGCAGTAGATATATCAAAGTACGCAAAAAAAGTGAGTAGACCAGTAAATCACTCACTCACTGTCTTTCTGAATACTGACTGTATTTTAAAGTATCGATATTTCTGTCAAGTAGTATCTTTGATCGTACTTGAAAAATCTTACCGCAATGGCGCTGCCATGTTTATCGTTACGGGAGTTATAAATCTGATACAGTTACATTGAGTAATAATGCTATCTACAGGTGTACCTGAGCGTTGGACAAGGTACATGGGTATTGCCCCGTGTGGCAACAGGAGGCAGCCCTCTAGACCAGCTGCTGTACCGAAGGTCCAACTACAAGAGTCTGGCAAAACTGGACGGTCTTATGTGTAGCATCGCCAACTCCCGCATCAACCACAACACATCTGGGCTGGCCCCACCCGGACCGCCATCTCAGGGCAGAACCATGATCAATGATGATATCCAGTTGCTCATCTTATGTGGTAAAATCGTAATTGTTGGACAGTTAATACGCCTTGGTGAACAAGAGGCTGAATTTGTTGACAGAGCTCTGGTAAAGAGCGTGGATGCCATTTTGTTTGCGACCGGATACGACTGGAGCTTAGAGTTTCTGGATGAGAACGTTGAGGGGGGTAAGAATACTTGCTTCAACCACTGCTACTGCTGCTACTACTACTGCTGTTTCTACTGTTACTGCTGATCCAGTACTACTACTACTACTACTACTACTACTACTACTATTACTGAGGGCACTGGTGACCCAAGTCCTATAAGGCGCCACAATTCGCTGGGCAGAGTTTCCCCCCTTTCGGCACGCCAGGAACCGTTTATTGTGGTTTCGCTTTGATAATGTTTCTAGGTTTGTCAGCACCATACCCGTGCTCGTGGGTTTCACCGAAGTGGTAAACGTCTGAGACCTGCATCACTGCGGGCTTTCCTCCCACATTAAGCTGACACGTCGTGATATAACTGGAATACTGTTCAAAAGAGGCGTTAAACCCAACTCACTCACTCATGATCACTCTCTACTACTTCTCCTGCTGCTTGTACTCCTGATGCTAATACCCGTTCTGCTCCAACTATTTCTACGACGACTACTTCTACAGATGATGCTGCTACTACTACGACTACTACTGCTGCTACTGCAAATACTACTGCGACTGCTACTGCTGCTAAACTATAGCTGATACGACCTTTGATATTAACTCACCAACAAACGCAACGACAACTAATATTCTGCGACTTCGACATTTTCTACTAATACTACAACTACTATCGCTGTTATTACTTTTCACTCCACCTAGCATATACCTTCCCCATAGTGTTCATCTACCCTTCTGTCGTCGTCTCCTTCGTCGTGTTGCTAGGCAACGTCACACATTCCCAATCCCCGTGAAGATCTGGGTTAAAATTAGTCTCCAGCAACCCATGCTTGTCAAGTCATTATCAATCGCCACACTCTCATCTGCAACCAATCATAACAATACTGTGAGTGGAAGTCTAATTAAAAGTCTGTTTTAATCACCTTCGATAGTTCTACATGCATTTAATCAAACTGACGTGGATTGTATTATTCTTTTTCATTTCAGACGAAGGAAACCTTCCATTTTATAAGATGGTGTTCCCCGTTTCGTTGCCCAGACAGAGCCTTGCGGTGATTGGGTGCGTGGACCCAGAGGGCCCCATCCCCCCGGTAACAGAGCTGCAGTGCCGACTGGCTGTCCGAGTGTTCAACGGGAAACACAAGCTGCCCCGCCTCAAGGTCATGCTGAAGGATATCAAAAAGTGGGATGACTACGTTCTGGAGAAATTTGGCCGTTTTAAATACAGGGTATGTACCTTGATGTCCATCTCCCCAAGGCAAGAGAGTTAACTGACTATGAAAGTCCAGTTTCCACCCTTGCCGAACTAGGCAAGAATTATAGAGTTACAGTTTGGCTGGACTAACGAGTCTATGCATAGTCCAATCAAAATCGCGCACCGAATTCGAATTTCTGGTTCGTAAACTGTCGTGCAGATTTCGGTCGATTGCAGGATTTGCAAAGCATGTGCACCGCCAACTCGTTGTCAGCAGATATTTTCCCAATCTTATCATGTTTTTAATCAAGGTGCTCACGTGATTTGATGCATTTCGCGATGTAAGACCCGTGTTATCACAATATAGATCTTGATTATCGATCAGATCGTCCTGACTCCGCGCCACCATTTTGTGTGAAGCAAACGCAAGTGATACGAGAGGCGGAATCTGATTGATCCATAGGAGAGGCTCAGAAGGGACATAACTGGTAATAGCCACTAGTGGCGCTACGATCGAGCCCAGTAATTCCAGCCTAGTTCGGCAAGGGTGGAGACTGGACTTTTAAAGTCAGTTTACTCTCTTGCCTCGGGAAGATGCTTGATGTCCTGTCTATTAACAAACCTACTGTCGTTTGTCACAGGGTCGAGCAAGTCGTGTGATTGGAGGGTGCAGGGGTGGTTTAATGTGACATAATTTGATGTGCAGAGTTGCGTCCCTTACGCGTGGCAGGGGCCGATGAGATTGGTTAACGACTTCGACATAAATGATATCTGTTTTCTTTCCACATAATGCAGAAAGCCATCAATTCTGAGTGTTTCTAAAACATTGCTACTGCGTCTTAAAATATACTACTCCACCTTAGATAGGGATATTTATTATCTGTCCATGATACGCAAACTGATTCTCATTATATTTCATGTGCATATTTGAATTATCTGATATAACTGATTATCCCTATCAAACGGTGAACTGTATATGACATGACGGTTTGTTTCATTTGGCATATCTTTAGATATAAAACCCATGTATAACGAGATGTCACCCGTGAATATCCGGGTAAGAACAGGTCTTATGCAACCCGTGCTTGCCCTAAAAGGCGACTATGCTTGTCGTTAGAGGTTACTTACAGGATTGGGTGGTCAGGCTCGCTGACTTGGTTGATGCATGTCATCGTATCCCGATTGCGTAGATCGATGCTCATTATGTCAATCATTGATTGTCTGGTCCAGACACGATTATTTACAGCCCGCCGTCATATAGCTGGAATATTGCTGAGTGCGGCGTTAAACAACAAACAAACAAACTGTTAAAACAACAAATATTACAAGATCAATGTATTTTGTGTTGTAGCTTCCCCATATTCCCTACCGTGATGAGTTGGCCAAGGAACTGGGCGTAACCCCTTCCTGGGGGGATCTGATAAAGGCAGGACCCTGGCTGGCCTACCAGTACTTCTTTGGTCCTGCCTTCTCTTATTTCCACCGTATCTGGGGTCCAAACAAATGGCCGGGCGCAAAATCAGCCATCTTCAGCGCTTTACACCACGGACTCAACACTCGACAAACCGTGAAGGTGCAAAGTCAAACAGTCAGAAACAGACTTTAGCTTACATTTTTATGGATGTTCACATAAAAATCTTTTTGTTTCTCTCTCATGAATGGCGGGGATTCGAACCCGGGTCTTCCACGTGTCAAGCGACCTGCCAGGCAACAACCGCCAACTGTTTAACTGCAGTATATTTAATGAATAAATAAATACATGATTTTCCGATTATTTATGTTCAAAGTTTCCACGTAATAAACTTGAGTCCGTAATAAGATTCGCCACCAATAACATTTCGTTATACAGGATGCAGATTATTTCGTTTACGTGAGGACTCTTATGAACTTTGCTCCCCGCCCTGAAAAGACGTTGCCAAGGTTACCACACTTCTCCAGATTGCGCACGTGTCGTTTGTTTTAGCGAGTACGTGCACGTGTCAATGTCACTAAGTTGATAGTTGAGGCTGCTAGTTTGACAACTGTTTAGAGTGCGTTTTAATGCACAATGAGCGTCTGATTGGATGTCATAAACGAACCTAAAAAAACAAAGCGTTATCCTTCCGTCTTTTCACGGATGCAAAGGTATAATCTTGAAGTAATCGGAAAGACGGATGTAATTTGAAAAGACACCCTTATCACAGGCCAATCCACTTCCTATGTTTCCAAAAGAATCGCACAAGGAGACCAATATTGCTTGCAGATACTCACGGAAACACGGCGTCACGCATGTTAGAAAGAGCGGTCCCAGTATTTATTTATAGGTACGGAAGAACACGTTTAAACGAACAGTTTTGCAGTTTCATGTAGAGCACGTGCGCGGTGTTCAAAGCGCCGTGCGCGGTTCTGTCACAGGTGACAGCGCTGCTCTCGAGTGAGGACTGCAACTGTACAAATTGTTCCAGGTCAGTATCACTGTTTCTGCATCCATAATACTGATGGCCGCGTTCACGTTCGTTTTTCATAAGCATTGAGAGAACATCATACTCCTAGAGTTCAACGACATACATTCACAATCCCCGCAAACATGTTGACAGTTCCACCCATGCAAATTGATTCAGTCCCAGAGCAGGTCGTCTCGTTTAGTGTGTAAAAGTAGTCGTACAGGTAACAGCTTTTGATCGGTGCGGTCTGAAATGTGTGCTGCTGTCTCAAGCATTGACAAGGAGAGTACTATTAGAGAAGTCAAACTTGAACGTATATCTAAATCTGGTTTTGCGCTTATGACGGATTTGGAATTGGAAAGGGCAAAAATAGTTTGTTGTTACAAATGGGTGTAGGGCATCGCGAATGTTAAAAGTATTTTTGCTCTGTCGTAAAATGACTATTTACTATGTCAATAACATGAGGAATCTGATTACTTACAAATTCATAGCTTTTGACAGACGTGTGAATGGAATCAACCCTGTTTTGGCCACTTAGAAGATTTCAGTTATAGGATCGTCATGCAGGCAAACCGAGTATCACGTGACACACGTGTAGGAACAATACTGTTCCCCTGAAGACCAGTGTTGCAATTGGTCAGCACCATGCTTGTCGTAATGGGCGGCTAACGGCATCAGGTGGTCAGGCTCGCTGACTTGGTCGATGGATGTCATCGTATCCCAATTGCGTGGATCGATGCTCATGATATCAATCACTGGATTGTCTTGTCCAGACTCGATTATTTACAGACCGACGTCATATACCTAGAATATTGCTGAGTGCGGCGTCAAATAACAAAGGAACAATACAACCACGAGCAGGAACAATAACAACATTTGTAAGAAAGACACTGCCACACATGCAGGAACAATAGATTACAAAGTCATGACTTATGATGAGGAGTACTGTTGATCATTGACAGGATCGTCAGTACTTTATACATGAATAGCTTCTTTCAGTTCATGCAAAACACGACCGCCCCCGTGGTCTCGTGGAAGAGCGTACGCCCGGAGAGCGGAAGGTCCGGGGTCCGATCCTACGTCATACCAAAACATGTTAAAAGATTATACTTCTTGGTACCTTGGCTAGCGTTCTGCATTAAGGGGCTAAAACAAGAATGGTCAGCTCGGAGTGGGGTATTCATGTTAAACTGTGGCATGGTATCTCAGTGGTCTAGCACTGTAAAATCGGGATTAGTCTGGACAAGTTCAAGCAGCCACACACACACGTGCATGCACGTCGCTATACAAGTGCCATAATCTTAGACGCGACGTTAACCCCATTTCACCTCACCTCACCTCACCTCACCTCACCTCATGTAAAACACTCAGGACACAATGAACGTTAGCTCAAATCACACTCCTTTTTTTTAAGTTTATATGTTCCTCCCTGGCAACGAGGCTGCAGGGACCTCGTCTCCGCGTTATTCCGCAGACAAAAAATATAAATTCTGCGATCAATTTGTGTAAATTCTGCAACCACATTTTGATAATTCTGCACACAATTCTACAAACTTTAAAGCGTCGGTTTTGTAAATTTCGTAGTTTTGTACCTGTTTGACTTGTGGTAGGCGTTTCAATGATGAACACATCCACGGCTAGAATATCTCGTTGATGTGAATCTGGAGATCACGAGTGTAAGTACACAGATACGCACTTGCGATAATAATACAAAAGTCAACTTCACTACAAAACGATATAAATATCCGGTTTCACGTTTAAAACCAGCTTTTTACTCACATGTTAAAAATCTGCAGTGTATTTGATGACGAATTCTGCGGAAGATAAATGTGAAATTCTACCCGAGTTCTGCACAAAATGTGGTTTTCTGCGAGATATAGACATTTCTGCACTGAGTGGGCATTTCCGCAAAATTCTCCGCGATTCTGCGGGATCGCAGAAAACAGCAGGGTCTGGTTCTATTGTTCCCCTAGACAGACATATCTATTCAGTAATTATCCGCAATACATGAGCATCCATATAGTTGTACCAGAGCTTCGTGCATATAATATATAATGTAGGGCTAGGAACCTTTCTTAAATTTATGATATATTGTAATTACATTACAGTAAACTACGGTTATAACGAACACGCTTATAACGAACTGACGGATATAACGAACTAACTTTTTAGTCCCGACTATTTGCTGTAGTTATGCTGTATATATGCTTATAACGAACTACGGTTATAACGAACTAAAAATAGTAGTCCCTTTGAGTTCGTTATAACCGTAGTTTACTGTATTAAATTTCTTCTCTCAGCTTTTAACTCTGACAAAAAAATCCTTATGACATGATACGTTTTGTTCTGTTGATGATATTATTCGGATTCTGTTTTCAGAATTTAAGTTATTTGTGATATATTGTGCAAGATAGTTACGCCTATTGGTCATATATCGTTCGCATATAAAATCAGGATATTCGTATTCAACAAAATATCTGTCGTGATCGAGAGTGACTGTATGCAAAGTCTGTTTTTATAAGGAATGTTTAAATGTTCACAGTTTTAACAGCCAAACTAATGTTGTTACAACAGTTACTGAAGTACTTCAAAACAGCTTGCCAAATGAACGGGTATGTCATGTGACACTGCCAGTGTCCACTCTGAGATCCAATCGCTGTGGGAGATGAATTTCACTATTAATTTAGATGTGAAGCTTTTCACCAACAGCGATATGAACTCTAAAATAAGCAATATCTGAAGTTTCCAAACCAGTCCCAATTTAAGAAACTTATGACCACTAACATTGTTAGAGATCGAAAAGGCCTATCTCAATTCCTTAACAATGTGTGCAATACAATTGGTAAATTGTGTTAGTATCCATGTATCCTATTTTATTATTTGGGCGGTCGGGTAGCCTGGTGGTTAAAGCGTTCGCTCGTCACGCCGAAGACCCGGGTTCGATTCCCGACATGGGTACAATGTGTGAAGCCCATTTCTGGTGTCCCCCGCCGTGATGTTGCTGGAATATTGCTAAAAGCGGCGTAAAACCATACTCACTCACTCACTATTTTATTATTCTTGTTAATTGCTGTCATTTTGTACATAATATAAAGTCCATATAATTGTATCCCATGTACCAGTGTGTGGTTTTTTTCTGAGAATAATTGAGTTTGAGCATAAGTAGGTAGTACGCGGACCCAATAGGGCGTGCTCTTTAGTAGTGCGTGACAACTCATTAAGATCAAACGGGTTAACGACACGAACTTTGGTTTTATACAATGAAGCAATTGGTAGATCGAACAAAGGACAGTCATCAATTCTATGAAGTGCTTTGACCCGGAAAGACATGGAATATTTGCGATCCCCCCGAGCGCTCACCCCTGTCCGTTGAAAATGGCGCTTTGTTATTTGGCCGGGTGCTTGACCCGAGAAGACCCACTGGTAATGGGAAGCTGGTTGTGCAAAACAGACTTTGTAACCTTCTGTCTACACGACCACATAAATCAACTCGATCCATTTCGATAAAAAATAAAAGAGTTTGGCGGTGGTGTTTATTGTTTAACGCCGCATTCAGCAATATTCCAGCTGTATGACGAATGTCTGTAATTAATCGGGTCTGGACCAGACAGTCTAGTGATTAATATCAGGAGCATCGATCCACGCAATTGGGATACGATGACATGCAAGCCTGACCACCTGATCCCGTTAGTCGCCTCTTTCGACAAACATGGGTTGCTTATTCTACCCCGGATCTTCACGGGTCTAAAAGAGTTTGGAGTGTTTTCGTTAAAAATAAGATAAAATCAAATAAACTTCCAAGGTGGTGAAATGAGGTTTAACGTCGCGTCCAAGATAATTGCACTTATATAGCGACGTGCATGCACGTGTATGTGTGTGTATGTGTGGCTGCTTGTACTAGTCCGGACTGATGCCGATTTATAGTGCTAACACACTGAGATACCATGCCGCAGTTTAACATGAATACCCCACTCAGACACAGTATACTGACTCCGAGCCGACCAGTCCTTGCTTTAGCCCCTTAATGCCGAGCGCCAGACAGGGTAACAACAAGTACCACCTTTTAACGTCTTTTGGTATGACGCGGCTGGGGATCGAACCCCGGACCTACCAAGCATACACGTATTTATATAAGTAGATTTTAGTTTCAACGAAAATATTTCAGCAACTATTTTCTGAACTTAACACCGTGCAAATTCCTAAACCTGTGTAATTGTGATATAACCGTCCTTGGAACTCACGTTGCACGATACTGGGGACAAAATGTCAGTGACCGAATCTTACCTGCCCGACAATAGATCTGAACGAAAAAATAAGACGACTAGACTCCACATACATCCGACATAATAACTGGTCTCTTAATGACCCCCTGCATGTATGAACGATGCACCCGTTGGACTGTATGTATCCTGATAGCCTTGAATTGGTGGTTAGCCGAGGGAAAAGCTTTGCCCCCCCTCAATGCAATGGTGAGACCCGTGAAGATTCCGGGATAGAACAGGTCTTCAGCAACCAATGCTTGTCGTAAAAGGTGACTATGCTTGTCGTAAAAGGCGACTAACGGGATCGGGTGGTCAGGCTCACTGACTTGGTTGATGCATGTCAGCGATCCCAATTGCGTGGCTCGATGCTCATGATATTAATCACTGGATTGTCTGGTCCAGACTCGATTATTTACAGACCGCCGTCATATAGCTGGAATATAGCTGAGTGTGGCGTTAAACAACAAACAAACTAACCAACCAATCAATGCAATGGTGACACGGGCAACTATTATCAAGGGCCACTGCTCAGGATGAATGGATAAATGGAACGCGAACACTCAAACCGAGTGTGTCTTAACCACATCTCATTGAATTAAATAAGTGGCTTTCGCCAAGCAAATGATGAATATAAACAATCCAATAATTTAAAGAAATGTATTCACTCATGATGAATAACAAATACTAGTACAGTAAACTTCGGTTATAACGAGGTGAGGTGAAATGGGGTTTAACGTCGCGTCCAAGATTGCACTTATATAGCGACGTGCATGCACGTGTGTGTGGCTGCTTGTACTAATCCGCACTGACGCCGATTTAAAGGCACACTGAGATACCATGCCGCAGTTTAACACGAATACCCCACTCAGACACAGTATACTGACTCAGAGCCGACCAATCCTTGTTAAGCCCCTTAATGCCGAGCTCCAGATAGGTAAATCGATATTACATTAACATAGTAATGACAGTAATTTTTGACACATTCGCGTGGTTTTCGGATTTATATAAATATTTGGTGCGTTGCCAGGAAGTCGTGTGTTCACTATAATAGATTTACATTGTGTATGATGTAAAACATCAACGTTTGTACGACAATATTCTGACACGTTTATGAATTATATGTTGTAATTGCAACAATATTATTTGTAGTTTGTAAAAACCGATTGGAGCCAAGGCGAAAATGGAGCCAAAGAAGCGAGCAGCGATTATTGGAGCCGGGATCTCGGGTTTAGCGGCCATCAAGTCCTGTTTAGAAGAAGGTCTGGAGCCGGAGTGTCTGGAACAGTTCGATGATATCGGTAAGAAAAAAGTTCATCAACTTGTCTCAGTTGGTGTAAACAATCAGAATTGTTTATGACATGTCTTTTTCTCAAATATATAATTATAATTATTCAACAACAGTGAAGTCATTCATTAAGAGATGGAATTAGGCTTACAAATCGACACAATGTTCATTTTCAAAACAATTCATAAACATGTTAAAGTTTAAAGACTTCATGAGCAAATGTTAGTAATAATAAGAGAAACTGACTGGCTATTTAGGCTCATTAGGCTCATAAATATATGGGCGGAGGGGTAGCCAAGTGGTTAAAGCGTTCGCTCGTCACGTCGAAGACCCGGGTTCAATTCCCCATTTGGGTACAATGTGCGAAGCACATTTCTGGTGTCTGGATATTGCCGGAATATTGCTAAAAGCGGCGTAAAACCATACTGACTCACTCATAATGTAGAACTTTTATAAGAACGTCGATCGATCATATATAGGACGTCAACTGAAAAAGTTGGTATGTTGAAGATTGATAACGCGCTCCCTTTATTTATAACTAAACATCAGCAAGGGCGGACACAGCATTTTCAAAAGGGAAGGGTCCAAAATTTCAGAATCCTCTCTCATATAGTTTTACTGCCTGCAACACACTACATTTGGTTTTCAAAAGGGGGGTGGGTCCGGATCCCTCTCACATCTCACACGATTCTTCACATCTCTTCTGCTGCGTTCAGATGTGGTACAGTGAACAGTGGACACCAGTGCAACAAATATTATATATTCTGCTTATATATAACTGCAAAGTGTTGAAAACGAACCATCTCACATCATTGGTCTACTATAAAACTCACCAAATTGTGTGTGTCTCTCCTTGAGTTTGTGTGTGTGTCTGTCAGTGTGACTGTCTCAAGGGGCGAGGGCGGGTAGATAGGTCCCAAGTAAGGATAAAAAAGGGTCGTGTTTCTTTGTATTCGGCGGTTCACCGCGAGTATTTCCATGAATCAGAAACTGCAGGCCACGCTTGACCACTGACATTGTATTTAAGAGCCGTGTTCACTGTCTGTCCAGTTATGTTTGTTGGAATTATTGGGAGAAGAAACATTTATTTTATTTATGCAGCCTAACCAAAACCTAAACGAGGAGACAAAATGATTCGGGTGATCAGCCTCGGTTCTCGTAACAAGTGTGTTTACATGTTCCCCATCAAGAGACCGCCTCCGTGGTCTAGTGGATAGGGTGTCTGCTCAGAGAGCGGAATGTCAGTGCTTCAATCGCCGGCCTTGTCATACCAAAAGACGTAAAACGGCTGGCGCGCAGCATAACGGGATAAAACAAAGGCTGGTCGGCTCGGAGTCAGGAAACTGTGTCTGTGAGTGGGGTATCCATATTAAGTTGCGGAATGGTATCTTAGTAGGCAAGCACGACATAACCGGCATTCGTCCGGACTTGTAGAAGCACGCACACGCACGAACGCACGCACGCACGAACGCACATTTGACACGCACTCGAACACACAAATAATCATAAACCCCATTTCACCTCACCTCCTGCTCGACATGGAACGGTACTGTTCTGTTCCTATCATTAGTTATTGCTTTTGTAGGTGGGTTTTGGTCACACTCTGGAACCTTCCAAGATGGACAGGGAGCTATGGCTTTCGACAACTTAACAGCCAACACACCTAAAGACATGTTCTGCTACAGCGACTTCCCGTACGAGGATGATGTCCCGCCCTACCCGACACGCGCCTATGTGCATGAGTACCTCAACAGTTTCTGCGACAAATTTGACCTCCGGAAGTACATCCATTTTAAAACTGTAACCCGGAACATCCGGGAGTCTGAAGACTATGACGTCACGGGGAAATGGGAAGTTGAGACAACAGATGGTTCCGAGGCCGTTCACAGCCACGTCTATGATTTTGTTTTTGTTTGTTCAGGGTATTGTTCAGATGCAAAGTTTCCCCTCATCAATGGACTTGAAACCTTTAGGGGATCAACTGAACACTCGAAGACCTTTAAGGATGGATCGAAGTATGCTGACAAACGGGTTCTTGTAATTGGTAAGTAGCATTGAGTTTGTTTATGCACTTCATAGCAGAGAGAGAGGGAGAGAAAGAGAGAGAGGGAGAGAGAGAGACCTAAATTCTCTCCACATTTTAAAAGGAACACCAACCCTCGTTTTTTGTTATCACCCTGGCTGTCATTTTTATATTTTTGTTGCGTTTGTATAGACATTTCCAGTTTTTTTTATACAATTTAACAATACAAGTTGAGTTTACAACAATATCAAAAGGACAAAGTGAATCAATTAAACAATAAATGGCAGGAAGACCAGAATTTGCAAAAGTATATCCAAAACGAGCCTAAAAATGTTGCACATTTTGTAATGATATAGTAATGATACAATTTCCGTTGAAGGAGCTGGAAAGTTGGAATTCTGTTTGTGATTATATGTTTGAATATAAGTCGCGTGAAGAGTATAAGGATCACACTGAAAGGGTCGGTGTTTCTCTGGGGGAATCCAAGCATTGTGTTGCTTGGTGTGTTGTACTGGCTGTCTTCAACCTTGGCAATGTGGTTGAATGGTTGAATTGGGGGTGAATGTTTTCTGGGGTGTTTGTGTTCAGTTCGGATTGGTCGAGTTGTGTCCCTTGGGCACACCAGAAACCTATGATTGTGGGTTCGAATCCCGGTTCGCCCCGATTATGTTTCTAGGTTTGTCAGCACTATGCCCGTGCTCGTGGGTTTCACCGAAGTGGTAAACGTCTGAGACATGCATCACATCGGGCTTTCCTCCCACGTTAATCTCACTCGCCGTGATATAACTGGAATACTGTTAAAAGCGGCGTTTGACCCAACTCACTCACTCACTCTAACATGGGAATATAATTGCTCATTGTCCACGTCACAGGTACTGGTAATTCAGCCGGAGATCTGGCAGTGACGGTATCTCACGTAGCAAAACAGGTGAGCGACAGTGTGTGGTTATTATAATATAGACTTGAAGGGGAGGTGCGATGTACATTCACAGCACATCAAACAACGTGTGAGGCATTTTGAATTTTGAGAGTTGCAGTTTTTTGTGGGATGAAATGCCTCAGTCACGGACCATTTAATATTCAGTGATGCGTGCGTTCGTGGGAGAATGAAAAAGATTGGGGGACTCGATTAAGGTTAATTTCTTCTTTTATTAATTAGTATTAATTAAGTATATTTCGTCAAGAAGTGACAGTAATATACACTTAATTCAACTGATTTGTCTGTTTTCAAGGGTTGATTGCAAAATTCCTAAAGTTTGTCCATTTACAAAGGCTGACTGACTTGATACAGTGAAACAGTTTGCTAAATTGATTCACGTTGTTGTGGATATCCCGCCACGACATCTTATGATATCCACACAAAAATATGTCACTCTTACGCATTTCCGTCCATGTACGACTTAGAACTTATCAATCAACACTCGTATACGTGCTTAATGCCATAAGAATGTGTAGATCTAATTCTGATTCAAACTGTGTCAGATGCACGATGCTGTTCTTGTTATGACACGTGACTGTATATGTTCCAGGTTTATATGACTGTGGGGAGAGGATCCTTCATTGTGCCCCGGTTGGTGGAAGGAGGCATCCCATGGAGTTATGCGACACAACGGAGAGCATTGTTAAAAAATAAAAATAATTTTGCCAACATTGTTCGCGCCACAGCTAATTCCCGATTGAATCACGTCGCAACAGGAATCAACCTCACTAATTCTCTTAAGTCCTCTGCGTTGATAATTAACGATTTCTTACACATTCAAATTGTCTGTGGTCGCGTGAAGATCGTTGGCAATTTGATCCGTGTTGGTGATCATGAAGCGGAGTTTAAGGACGGCACAGTTCTGAGGGATCTTGACGCCATCTTGTTTGCAACAGGATATTTGCCTGGGTTGACGTTTCTGTCAGACAAAGCAAAGGGAGGTAAGTGCTAAAGAACAAAACACATGTTTATATTGAATTTATGTTTGTGCAAAGACGTATTTATGCGTCTTTTGTTTGTGTGGGTGAGTTTTGTTTAAGGTATATAAAGGCTTTTGCAAGCTTAATGTGGGAGGAAAGCCCGAAGTGGTGCAGACGTTTACCAGTTTGGTGAGTGGGTGAGTTGGGTTAACTCCGCTTTTAACAGTATTACAGTTATATCACGGCGTGTCAGCTTAAAGTGGGAGGGAAGCCCGAAGTGATGCAGGTCTCAGACGTTTACCACTTCGGTGAAACCCACGAGCGCGTGTATGGTGCTGACAAACCTAGAAACATATTCGTGGCGAACCGAGATTCGAACCCACAATCATAGGTTTCTGGCGTGCCAAAGGGACGCAACTCTGCACAGCGAATCGCGGCGGCTGGGCCACCCGTGCCCCCTCCAGTTTGGTGAAACCAACGAACGCTGGTATGGTTCTGACAAATCTAGATACAAAATTAGGGCAAATCTCACATGCCTAAGAGATGCAACTCTGCACAGCGAATTTCAGCATCTCAGAAGAAGGTCTAGCTCCGCTGGTATCGTTCATTATGTTTTATACTTTATAAAGGGACAGACAAGCAGTACCGGTACAAGATGACCTTCCCCCTGACCTTGACGCATAACACCCTGGCCCTGATCGGGTGTTTTGAGTCCGGGTCCACAGTTATCGCGGTGACGGAGATGCAGGCGAGATGGGCGGCCAGGGTCTTTTCCGGAAGGTGTCAACTTCCGGCACGAGAAACAATGATGGCGGACGTGGACAAGTGGAACAAGTTCGTCGTCAGGAAGTTTGGACGCTACAAATACAAGGTAACCCGGTATGCTTGGGTTATGACCCCCGGGACACTATTTGTCTTGTCGAATAAAACTCAAATTTGAATATTTTGAAGACCGTTTGGTCGTGGGTTGGAAAGGAATTGTCATCTGGGAAATTGAGCACAAATCAAGCGCGAATGCACCTGTTTGGGATTGGGGCTGCTGTACTTCACATGACATGCCAGAGAATAGCAATTCCAACTGTCGTAAATGGCAAAATAACGGTAAAAAATATATGAATTGATCACTAAAAATCAATGATGTCACCAGGTGTTCGAGAAAACGGGAATCATGTTCGCTCCAAGAAGTACCTTCCACCAACACAATTTGCATACAGTGCAAAAGTACAGTCAACTTCGTTTACAACGAACACGCGTATAGCGAACTGACGGATATAGCGAACTTTTTATTGTCCCAACCATTTTCGGTATATATGATGTATATGTGCTTATAACGAACTTCGACCGCCTCCGTGGTCTAGTGGAAGAGCGTCCGCCCGGAGAGCGGAAGGTCCGGGGTTCGATCCCCGACCGCGTCATACCAAAAGACTTTAAAAGATGGTACTTGTTGTTACCCTGTCTGGCGCTTGGCATTAAGGGGCTAAAACAAGGACTGGTCGGCTCGGAGTCAGTATACTGTGTTCTGAGTGGGGTATTCATGTTAAACTTCGGCATGGTATCTCGGTGAGCTAGCACTATAAGTCGGCATCAGTCCGGACTAGTACAATAGTGCAATAATCTTGGACGCGACGTTAAACCCAATTTCACCTCACCTCACACATTACGAACTTCGGTTATAACGAACTTTGGTCCCTTTGAGTTCGTTATAACCGAAGTTTGCTGTGTTGGTTTATTGTCAGACGCAGCACATCAGTTCGTCTCTTAATGGACGTCCTTATTAGTCCCTCCTTGGCCGTGTGAACCTCAAAGAGATGCGATCGTCAATGTTATAAATGACACTACACCGATTTCAATATTCAGATCTGTCCAAACGGAGTTGGAATTAATCTTTTCCTTTAACCATGGATCATTTAAACTCCAGATTTGTCTTTACATGTAATAAGAAGATATATCGCTGTTATTTTGCATAATATAATGGTATCAGATGTTCATCGTCAACAGGTCCCGAATCTCGTCATCCGAGACGAGATGGCAGCGGAACTGGGTGTGGCCCCCTCCTGGTGGGACCTGGTCAAGGCCGGACCCCGACTCGCCTACCAGTACTACTATGGGCCTGCCTTCCCCTATTACTACCGTCTGTGGGGGCCTCATTCGTGGTGTGGAGCTGAGAAGGCCATCTACAATGCACTGGAACATGGCTACATTCCCAAACCTGTCATGACATTGAAGCCAGCCGTTTCTCAGAAGTCCAGTTCGGTTAATTTAGCGTTGACTGGTGCTGCAGTGGCGGGTGCTGTGATGTTGGGATCCTACCAGTGGAAACTTCTACAATGAAAGTCAAGCTGTGAAATGCAGGTTCAGATCTGTATGCTCAAAACTGTGTCTATAAATTCCTTGTTATCCACATTCAAGAAGGAACTGTTCGAAAGATGTTAATTGTACTGGCGTTGATCTATGTACAAGCTGTGGGAAATATTTTGTGAATATTTGTCCCTTTTTCTTGTGACATATATCTTGCATATTTCCCGATGGATATTTTTCTATGCTAATCCTGATGGATATGTTTCATGCTAATCCTGATGGATATGTTTCATGCTAATGCTGATGGATATGTTTCTATGACAATCCTGATGGATATGTTTCCTTGCTAATCCTGATGGATATGTTTCCATGACGATCCTGATGGATATGTTTCTATGCTAATCCTGATGGATATGTTTCATGATAATCCTTTTGGAGTTGCTTGTATGATTATCCTTGCGGATATGCTTCTGTGAGAATCCTGATTGATGTGATCCTACGATAATCCTTATGGATTTGTTTCTGTGACCATCTTGATGGATGTGTTTCTAAGCTATTCCTTATGGATTTGTTTCTGTGACCATCTTGATGGATGTGTTTCTAGGGCTAATCCTGATGGATATGTTTCCATGACGATCCTGATGGATGAGTTTCTATGATAACCCTTGTGACAACATGTATCTGGTGGTCATGTTTCACTGCAAATATGGAAAGTGAAACTTGGCAATATAAAATAAACGAACGTTCCGGGCCATAAAACAACCAGTCGTCAATATCTCCAGGGTTTGAATTAACTATGTTTCTCCTTCACCCGATACTGAGGTGTAATACTGACACGTTTAATTTTTTAAGTAGTTGAATGAAATGATACCGTAAAAAACACACGGAGCCCAACTCCGTGCATGGATTTGTGAGAACCCTGTCGTTGTCTGATGTTGTTTGTTTGTTTGTTTGTTTGTTTGTTTGTTGTTTAACATCCAGTGAATGTTATCATGAGCATCGGTCCACCCAGTACGGATACGATGAAATGAATCAAAGTCAGCGAGCCAGAATCCGTAAATCCCTTTAGAGCCTCATAGCCGCCTCTTACGACCAGCATAGCCGCCCCTTACGACCATCATAGCCGCCCCTTACAACCAGCATAGCCGCCCCTTACGACCAGCATAGCCGCCCCTTACAACCAGCATAGCCGCCCCTTACAACCAGCATAGCCGCCCCTTACAACCAGCATAGCCGCCCCTAACGACCAGCATAGCCGCCTCTAACGACCAGCATAGCCGCCCCTTACGACCAGCATAGCCGCCCCTTACAACCAGCATAGCCGCCCCTTACAACCAGCACAGCCGCCCCTTACGACCAGCATAGCCGCCCCTTACGACCAGCATAGCCGCCCCTTACGACCAGCATAGCCGCCCCTTACGACCAGCATAGCCGCCCCTTACGACCAGCATAGCCGCCCCTTACGACCAGCATAGCCGCCTCTTACGACCAGCATAGCCGCCCCTTATGACCAGCATAGCCGCCTCTTACGACCAGCATAGCCGCCTCTTACGACCAGCATAGCCGCCCCTTACGATCAGCATAGCCGCCCCTAACGACCAGCATAGCCGCCCCTTACGACCAGCATAGCCGCCCCTTATGACCAGCATAGCCGCCTCTTACGACCAGCATAGCCGCCCCTTACGACCAGCATAGCCGCCCCTTACGACCAGCATAGCCGCCCCTTACGACCATCATAGCCGCCCCTAACGACCAGCATAGCCGCCCCTTATGACCAGCATAGCCGCCTCTTACGACCAGCAAGCCGCCCCTTACGACCAGCATAGCCGCCCCTTACGACCAGCATAGCCGCCCCTTATGACCAGCATAGCCGCCCTTTATGACCAGCATAGCCGCCTCTTACGACCATCATAGCCGCCTCTTACGACCAGCATAGCCGCCCCTTACGACCAGCATAGCCGCCCCTTACGACCAGCATAGCCGCCCCTTATGACCAGCATAGCCGCCCCTTATGACCAGCATAGCCGCCTCTTACGACCAGCATAGCCGCCCCTTATGACCAGCATAGCCGCCTCTTACGACCAGCATAGCCGCCCCTTACGACCAGCATAGCCGCCCCTTACGACCAGCATAGCCGCCTCTTACGACCAGCATAGCCGCCGCTAACGACCAGCATTGGTTGCTGAAGACCAGCATGGGTTGCTGAAGACCTATTCTAACCCGAATCCTCACGGGTCTTGTCTGATATTAAAGAAAGAACGATGGGGGAACGTATTAAATACAGACCAAGCAAGTACTGACAAAAAAATACGACTATTAACAACATCTTCATGGAAGCAGTATTAACATGTTGTCAATGCTAGCGATCCAGAAACTGTTCAAGTCCTATACATGTAGTAATATACCCAATTGGACCAGCTGATGCTGTTGGAAATGTATCTTTGATTCGTTGTTTGGCCCTAGCGAATGCATCCCTCCACCCATCCAAAATTTAATTGTATTACATATATGTAAAGATAGTGTAGGTATCTGTTACGTCCCTTGAAGCTGTACTACAGTAATGGTCCACAAAATGGTATCTGGACGATCTATATGTGTTCAGCAGGTCATGGCTGAACGTTCTGGAACTCTCCTTTGCTAGCATTTTTAGTGTTCCTGTGGTTTTGTGACAGGATGATAAGTACATATGACGGGTTGGTGTTTTGTATTTACTTCTTTCGAATTTCAAATCATAATTTCGATCTGTAGTAAGTTTAAAATATCCATATATGTGAGCTACATATTATATGGATCTTTTTGCGCGATGAATATTGTAGACTCACAGTACCAGCTGTTGCACAGTGTCAGACAGCGACAGAGTTGGTGTCACATGTGGCAATGGTAGTTTGTCATGACGTTTGTGTCAGACAGCTGCTATCGTCTCTGCCTCATGATATACGCTGCATTCAGTGTACTGTCAACTTATATCGCACTTCATATCTTTTTATAGAGTCACTGTGTATTAATATATTAATAAAAAGAATATATTCATCATTGTCGTTATTATCGCCATGGTCATCGCATGACACAGGAACTATCACAAATATATAGAATCTCTACCAAATGGCCATTATGCATGCACATATTTTGTCGCTGTTGATATGATTCACTTTGATGGTGATTATTTCTTATCTGTTCTGCAGATACCATAGTGATGACCACAATTTGTTTATTTACACATTGTGCCGTTTATAAGTATAAATGTGGTGGTTTTGTGGTTATTGTATTCGTTCGTTATATATACGCAACTGGTTCGGTTCTCATATTTAAGTTTCCCTAGTACCTTAATTCGTCTTCCCGAGGCAAGAGAGTTAACTGACTTTAAAAGTCCCGTTTCCACCCTTGCCGAACTGGGCTGGAATTTCTGGGCTCGATCGTAGTGCCACCAGTGGTTATTATGAGTTATGTCCCTTTTGAGCCTCTCCTATGGACCAATCCAATTCCATCACTTGTATTTGTTTCAAACAAAATGGCGTCGCCCCGTCAAGACGATCTGATCGATAATTTAAGATTTATATTGTGATAAAACGGGTCTTTCATCGCGAAGTGCGTCAAATCACGTGAGCACGTTGATTAAAAACATGAAAAGATTTGGAAAATATCTGTTGACAACGAGTTGGTGGTGCACATGCTGTGCAAATCCTGCAATCGACCGAAATCCGCACGACAGTTTACGAACCGGATTTCGATTTCGTTGCGAGATTTTGATTGACTATGCATAGACTCGTTAGTCCAACCAAAATGTACCTCCATAATACCAGCCTAGTTCGGCAGGGGTGGAAACTGGACTTTTATAGTCAGTTAACTCTCTTGCCGCGGGAAGATGACCTCAATTATGGCTTGAGTGTGTTTCAGTGTAATGCACTGACGTCCATATAGTGCAACCTTCAGTAAGTTTCCAGACACCGTATAATACACATGATCGCAAAACACGAAGGCCAGAAGCTACAATGTACGCCCCCGGTACATTGTTTCCACGTCTAGAAACGACGTCGTAGGTGAAGCGTTTTGACGTCATTCGACAATTATGGTTTTCTGAGATGGCGGCGGTGATCATTGCATGTTTCTGAAGCGGAACCCAAAGGGGTGAAGAAATAATGGGTAAAAAATGTTTGTTTTTGTTGTTGTTTTTGTTTGTTTGTTTGTTGTTGTTTTTGTTTAGTTTTGTTTTGTTTTTTGTTGTTTTGGGTGTGTGTGTGTGTGGGGGGGGGGGGGGGGGGGGGGGGTTCAACTTAAGATCTTGAAATTTCAAGATAGTATCGAAAAAACATATAAACAAATGGCCCTAAAAGGCTGCCGTAGATAACACTGTCTTACTGGTTTTAAGAAACGGGTGTCGAAATTCTTGTTTTTCCCGAGCGAAAGCGAGACTAATACATGAATTCTTGCACGAGATTGACACGAGTGTGACACACACGCTTGTATGATACACATGCCATTTAGGCTGATTATGCTGACTTAAGAATGTTTGCATTCTTTCCAGTTTTTGACTTCATGATACATGCACGGTGACGTTCTGAAATAGACACGTCATTTAGCAGTCTTACAATGCAATAACAATTCTTTTCATATCGTGTTCAAAATCATGTATTTTTTTCTGATGACTTCGCAAAGGACCACTTAACACGTCTGGTATATTAGATAAAAATCCTATACATTTAAGACAGCCTTGTGGGGTGATCCCAATAACTGTCAGGCCTCGGTATGGGGAATTAGCTATTGGGAGCTAGCCTTGAAACAAGAGAGAAGAGAGCTGTGAGGTCCTTAGGGTTTATTCAAGCAAGTGTGTCATATCATTCAAGTTACATCAATTAATATATAATAGTGACGTACAATCATAATAATGATAATAATATGCTAACACATTGTCCATCTAATGAAGGCATAATAATAAAGGCAATGTATTTAATATTGGAGTATGTACGGTAACATTATACAACAGATGCAGTATTTACTAGAATAATAACGGTAATGCTAAATAACATTCCTTAACAGCTAAATCGAGTGGTCGTAACATTTTAATAGAGCATGTACGGTAGACTGCGCAAACTGCTTAGATGAGGAACATGACATTCACTTATGAAAAGACATTAATATTTGTAAATACTTGATCCAAATAAAGATACGAATGTACGCGGTAGAAGATATAGCTCGGTTTTAGTTGTGTAATTATTAGTTTTAGTGGTGATTACTTTGGTGACTACGGTAATGAATCACGGCGGCTATGTTGCTATTGACTACGCGCATTTCCTAAATATATACGGAGCTAGACGATAACAGCTAATGGAGTGAATACGGCAATTGTATACTTAAACGATTCGCGTTTGAATGTACGTTGTTATGAAGTATAAAAGATGACTATAACACTATTTAAATGACTACGGTAATAAAATTGTAGTATAGGTTGTGTTGTAGCGTATGCAACTATATGAGGGACGGGACTCTTTACAATATATTCAAATACTTACTTAATGAGGATAAAACCTAAGAAATATGGAATGCGTTGTTATAGCCTATTCTGTAAGCGCACACGGAAGGTAAAGCTGCTCACATAACCTTTGATCGGTGGACTGTCGGAAAATATGGAATAACCGACCTACGTATAGAATAAATCTTGCTTGAAACAGTTGTGTTAACTCTAGGAACCGTTTTGTGACTAAGCTTCGTGTACGCTACGCTACTGCACGGAAATATAAACTGTATATGCATCTGGCATTTTGAACAGATGATGTTAGACATAGAAGGGGAATATAATCGTGGATGTCGAAATATAGGAGAGAACTATTGGTGCCGCATATTAATGACACATAAACTGGAGGAGCCCACAACGCATTACACTTCAAACAACACTGGAAAGTGCCTGAGTATTAAACGGTAAATAATATATAATGAGCAGTCATTTAGAACTTGTACACAGTAGATTGAGAGTTACAATATGGCAGTACTGATTCAACTTAACTATAACATTTTCTAGACAATAATAACAATGAAATAAGAAGTTTAGTCATAAAATAGGAATATTTAAATGTTTCTTACCTTGAAACAAGAGAGAAGAGAGCTGTGAGGTCCTTAGGGTTTATTCAAGCAAGTGTGCTGAGGACCAACACCCAAGGAGTTATATACCCCCACAGCTCTACTCTTATCACATTAACAATTACTTTGAAGTTGTAATTTCGGTCTCAGTTATCTGCCCTGGGCTGTCAAAGTTGACTACACAAAAGCAGGTGGTAATAGAATGGTATCAGTATTGCCTGAGAAGAGTTTATTTTAATTACAGTTTAAGATGGTGGTCAAAACCTGCGCCAGCTGGTAACAAAACATTTATCAAGAGAACAAGGGCCGGGGCGGACGTACGCGCCGACTTTATCTATGATTACGTAATTTACTGTTCGCGTGAATGAGCTTGCAAAGGAGAAGCCCATTCGTCACCACTCGCCCCTTTCCGTAGCCTGCAAGAAGACTCGTCCCCCTATCGATGAATGTTATGTGCGAAAATACGACAAACCAATCAGAATGCGCGTATGATTTCAAGTTCTTCGTGAAAGAATCCCTCAGAAATATTTTTTTATTTTACATATGTCTTGCATCTAAAAATATACCCAAGACACAGTTAAATGTGTTCAATCATACTGTATAATTCCACATGTCTCGATGTGCTTTAAATTGCATCTGAAATATATATGATATATGGGGAAATAAATGTGAACAAATGCGCAACGAGTTGACAATTGTTTTAGGTATGCCCGTCTGCGCTAAGACGGAACCCGGTCGCAAAAATGGCCATGAGAGGGGCACGAGTCGCTATTCGGCTTGTCCCGGAATAACACGAGTTGGGTCACGAATGAGGAGAAGCCGTCATGGTCGACCAGTGGTGATAAAAACGAGAAATACTGGTCTAGCGACTTTCGAATTTTAGAATTTCCTAGTTTAAGTTTAATTTGTTAAAAATATAAAAAGTGTAATGAAATATATGCACTGTAACAATATCAAATAAGAGTTGAAGACTTGCAATAGATTATCATACGTTAATCGAGAGTACAGTGTACATCAATAATTTGTAAATCTAATATTAATTAGATCTAATATCCATGGCAAAATATTGGAAATACGAGCTGTCGCGTTATGATAATATATATATATTCAATTTTCTGAGATTAGTAATGTGTATTTGATGATATATATGCATACACAATTGGTTATCAATTATCTTCTACAATCACAGCATGTACCATGTACATTAGACTCATGGAAAATACTATTACAGCAAACCAATCACAGCGCCATTATCACAGTTTCAATGAAAGGAAAAACAAATCGAAATCGAACTAACAGCACAGCGAATCCATAAGCGGTTAACCCAAATGCAAAAAGGTATTGCTGTCATCATTGTAGAAGTTATGTTGATGTTTTCAGTAGTTGCATTATGTTTGTATCGCGTGTACCATCGACAGAAACGTGGGCCGAGCTACCACATGTGGAACCGACCTTGACACAATTTGTGAACAATATGGCGTCGACTCACGTTAGATGTCGTGGCCACACTTTTGAAATCTCCTTTCGCGACAAAATGTGAAACAGTGAGGTTTGTTTGTTTGTTGTTTTACGCCGCACTCGGCATTATTCCAGCTATATGCCGGCGGTCTGTAAATAATCGAGTCTGAAACAGTTAGGGCAGGTCCTTCACGCGGTCAAGTAGTTGGAGCAATCACACATGACTCTTAGTCATTTCATATGAATCAAGTAGCAGTTATTTGTCTAAACCATAAATTTGTCTAAATCATATCCTTGATTTGAGAACAAGGGCCGGGGCGGACGTACGCGCCGACTTTATCTATGATTACGTAATTTACTGTTCACGTGAATGAGCTTGCCAAGGAGCAGCCGTCATGGTCGACCAGTGGCGATAAAAACGAGAAATACTGGTCTAGAGACTTTCGAATTTTAGAATTTCCTAGTTTAAGTTTAATTTGTTAAAAATATAAAAAGTGTAATGAAATGTATGCACTGTAACACATTTATGAAAATATGTTCATTATGAGAGGTTCTAAAACATATAATCTCACATTATTTAACACCTATACACGCTTATGAAGTTTAGATATTAAAAATAACTATTCTGCATTTAAGGCATACAATGTGTTATTACTATATGTACATCGATATGTTTGTTCATATACCATATGTTGAAACAAGACACAAAACACATGAACATACATTTTAGTCAAACCTTTTCATAGAGACAGAATAGTGTTCGGGATAGATTTAATGAAAACATCGCACGGTTCATATAAAGCTACGGACATGAAAACGGTTCAGTCATAACTATGGGCTCCAGGAAGAGAGTGGTTATCCTTGGAGCCGGGATCTCGGGTTTAGCGGCCATCAAGTCCTGTTTAGAAGAAGGTCTGGAGCCGGTGTGTCTGGAACAGTTTGATGATATCGGTAAGAAAATAGATCATCAACTTGTCTCTGTTGGTGTAAACAATCATTAGTTGTTTATGAAATGTCTTTTTTTTCAAATATATATAATAATTGAACAACAGTGATGTCATTCATTTAGAGATGAAATTGACACAATGTTTCTTTTTGAAAACAATTCATAAACACTTAACCCACCTGTTCGTAAAATGGACTTTTCCGAGGTAGGATTCTATTTAGGGAGTCATCATTATTAAAATTTGGGTAACTATTATTAAAGCGCATTTTATCAACATCCTTAAAGAGGTTGTACATAATGCTGACATCACATATCAGAAATAAACAACTCGTGGTCGTTGTTTTTCGTACAATACAATGTCGCTGAGCCCCTCATGGTTTATTCTCCCAGCAGTATTTTAGTGTACGATAAACAACGACCACGAGTCGTTTATTACTTAAATAAACCACGCTTCGTTCTTCATTGTTCTAATGCTTCGTTCTTCATTCTCTTTATATTTACATGGGAACAATATGTGGAGTCCATATCTGGCGTCCCCCGCCGTGATATTGTTGGAATATTGCTAAAGCGGCGTAAAACAATATCCAATCACTATTTCGCACTATAGTTGTAGGGGTATGTATAAAACCAAAGCCATACTTCCTACTTCTATTCATAATCATATTTCCTTTCATCCCTTAGAATGCGACGTTAAACCTCCTTTCACCTCGCGATCCTTTTAATTATCTGGACCAAGACATATTAAATTGTCCTCAAAAGTGAGTAATTGTGTATAGTTGTAAGCTTGAATAGCAATTTTATCGTTTTGGCAATATCACGGCGACGAGACATCCGAACGGACAAGCACCTTCGCCACTCGACTACCCTTGTCCTTGAGACCGAAGCTTGGGTGTATGGTGTATAGACTTAAACATTCTTACAACCGGTTTATTGTCCGATATTAATTTCCCACAAAATGCATGTGTTTCCATAAAGACATAGAAAGTAATTTAAATGTAAGACCCGTGAAGATCCGGGTTCTATTAAGTCTTCCGCAACCCATGCTTGCCGTAAAAGGCGACCATACTTGTAGTAAGAGGTGACAAACTGGATCGGGTGGTCAGGCTCGCTGACTTGGTTTGATGCATGTCATCGTATCGCGTGGATCGATGCTGGATTGTCTGGTCCAGACTCGATTATTTACAGACCGCCATCATATGGCTGGAATATTGCTGAGTGCGGCGTTAAAACACAAACAAACAAACAAACAGAGCATATGGCTAGAATATTGCTGTGTGCGGCGTTAAACAACAAACAAACAAAACGCTTACATCCAAAATTAATGTTGTGATATTGTAGGCGGAATATGGTACTACACAGAGAGATACCGAGAAGGCCAGGGTGCGCGGGCATTCGACACTCTGACCACCAACTCACCCAAAGACCTGTTCTGCTACAGTGACTTCCCATACCCAAGAGACTTCCCGCCCTTTCCGACTCACGAAATGGTTCACAAATATCTCAACCTCTACTGCGAGAAGTTTCATCTCCGGAAGCACATCCATTTTAAAACCAAAGTTCTCCACATCCAGAAGTCCGATGACTATGACGTCACAGGTAGATGGGAAGTTGAAATGACAGATGCATCAAAGGCGATTTATCGGGATGTTTATGACAGTGTGATCGTGTGCTCCGGGTTCTCTGAAGCTTGGATACCTGAAGTTAAAGGACTCGAGACATTTAAAGGATCGATAGAACACTCGAAAACATTCAAGGATGGGGCAAAATACAAGGCCAAGCGAGTGTTGGTTGTTGGTATGTTAGACAGTGAGAGGCTGATTTAGATTGGATGCCGTTTGACCAATACTCAGTAGAATCACGGTGTTAAGCATAAAATAGGGGGTGAAGACAACGCGACCAAGTTTGCCCCTTTGGTGAAACCCATGACCACGGCTATGGTGCTGACTGCCAAAGGGTCATTATCGGTGCGAATCTCACCACAAACAGTTCAAAGGTCGACTATGGGCCGCAACTTAACACAGAGACTTGCATCGTAATACTTCAAATGAGCGGTACTCCGTGCATGAATATTTGACAACCCTTCCATTATACCCCGAGTGATACTGCTACAACGAATTTATCTAATCTACCTTAATGTACCATTGTAAAAGAATTAAAATTAATTTAAATTGATGGGAAACAGATGTTGAGCTAAGGTTAACTTGTGCTTCGTCACTTGAATTTCACTGAGTCGGAAAAAGCGTTCGGCCTTGTGCTTCGAAGCGGGGTATAAGGGATTCATTCTCCCGCTCAGAAATCCACGTGGAGCCTGTCTTCTTCGTGGCGGGGTATACGGGATTTTATTCTCCCGGAAATATATGAATGGTATTGTATCTAGATCACGTGAACCAATCAGATCTCATCACTCTGACATGGAGGTATGATAATGCCTGATATTGCATTAATGTCGGGAGTAGATGGCGGCACGGCTGTAGCACGTGTTGCACGGGGAATATTTGAAGTTTGTAATCTGTGCGCTCATTGGTCATCGCGCTCGCTGGAACCAAACCGTTGCTAGATATGATGGTTCAAAATAGCCGTTAACAACGCAAAGAAGGATGATAGAGAAACGTATTGTATTATTCCGTGACGTAATGATCAAAGTAACGCAACTTTCCGCTTATAACTGTTTCCTGGAGCCGTGTGAGCCCTCAAATGTGTCCTAATAAAGGCTGACCTCCGTGATCTGGGCCTTTGTCAGGACCATGTTTAATAAATGATCTCAGACATGGGCAGTAAAATATGAAAATAACCAGAAGAGTATAATCAGTGGGGTTGTTTATTTTGTGACACAGAGTCCCTGTTGAAAGATACAGGCCCATATCTTATGTCTCTTTTTAGGCACTGGGAATTCTGCGGGTGATATGGCTGTGGTAGTTTCCCAAGAAGCAAAACAGGTATGCTGAAAGTGAATGATATGCGTTGACAAACGCATGGTAGCTGAGACACAATTTGAAATGAGTATCATTGTGCAGTGTTAATCACTTGTTTTGAAAAAAGGTTACCCATGAAGGTTTCAGACACTGCATGAGATCAAACAAAAAGGAGTCAGACACAGTTTCCAAAATCATAAGAAACATCAATTGTACATGCATGCCAAATATTGATAATGATTCTTTTTAGGGTATTGGGATCTCCTTGGAAATAACTAATTCCAGAAAAATTCTGGAAAAAATCAATATGACCTCAGATTTTACACCGTAAATAAAATTGTTCACTGGACATGAAATGAGAAAAAATGTGCTCATCAAAAATGATTGATTGCCTCGCAAATTCGACAATTTCTCCTCACGGCTTCTCCAGCGTCATTTCTAAAATGTCCCCGTACCATTCCTCTTTATCATGAACTGTTGCTGTCACGTCGTTGTTTTCGGTTCGACATTACCACGACAAACTCGGATTTTAAAGGTTTCCATATTCATGGATTCGATTCTTCTGAAATATTTACATTTGAAATACAAAACTGTCCTCAATGTGCCTGTGCTGTTCTCTTCTTTCTCTTGCAGGTCTACTTGAGTGTTGGTAAAGGAACCTACATAGTCCCTCGCCTGCTGGAAGGAGGTCAGCCCCTTGGATACGTCACACAAAGGAGGTCTAATATCAGGAATAAAAACACGTTAGGCAACGTCGTTTGTGCAATAGCTAATTCACGCTTAAATCACTCAGCCGCTGGTATAACGAGCGCTGACAAAGTCCCAGATCTTACACAGATGATAAATGATCTAATATACCATCAAATTGCTTGTGGTCGTGTGAAGATAGCAGGCAGGTTGGTGAGTGTGGGTGAAAACGAGGCTGAGTTAGAGGACGGTACAATTCTCAAGGACATTGATGCCATTTTGTTTGCAACGGGTTATCGGCGAGGACAAAGCTTCCTGTCCGACGAAGCAAGAGGAGGTAAGTGAGTGAGGCACTTTGAACAACATAAAACTATGAAACACAGTTATGGAGCTTTGTAGACCGGCGAGACCAGCGAGTCCGGGTATATGCTAAGGGACGCAACTCTGCATAAGAAGTTTATACCTCTGGGTACCTGTGCCCTAGTAAAGTGAGTGACACATCTGTTTTACATGGGCAAAGCAGGATCTGACCCAACAATACTTTAACAGCGCCTTTTGCTGGAGAGATCTTGCCGCTTTATAAACTACAGTAAACCACGGTTATAACGAACACGCTTATAACGAACTGACGGATATAACGAACTCACTTTGTTGGTCCCGACTATTTGCTGTAGTTATGCTGTATGTATGCTTATAACGAACTACGGTTATAACGAACTAACATTAGTAGTCCCTTTGAGTTCGTTATAACCGTAGTTTACTGTATCGTAAAAACATTTTAACATAGATTTCGCTGAGATCGCTTTGTAAAAGTAGGCCAAGAAATAGGACGTATGGGCAAATAAACAGGAACTCTGGTAATTGGAAGTTAAAGTGCTCAGAAAGGAAGACAAATTCTGATTTAGGGCTGCCTGGTTGTAAGATATCATCCACATCGATGGCAAGGATTAGCTATTCCAAACTACAGACCACTGTTGTCGACATAGCTGCATCAGTATAATTGTTCATATTTATAAGGAAAATATACATTTTGCTGATGACCTTCACCTTGACCCTAAATGCATGTTGCCAGGTAAAGACAAGCTGTACCTGTATAAGATGACGTTTCCACTGACGCTGCCTCATCAAACCCTTGCACTGATCGGATGCTTTCAATCAGCTGCCACAGTTACGGCCTTGGTCGAAGTTCAAGGCCGACTAGCAGCGCGAGTGTTCTCGGGAAGACACAAACTCCCGCCCTACAACGTCATGATGAAGGATGTGGAACGATGGAACCAAAGCATCTTGCAGAACTTTGGATGTTATAAATATAAGGCAAGAATCAATTGTCACGCATCTCAAGGTCACGACTTGCGTCATACGACGTCATGCTGTAATGTAACGTTGCTCAAAGCGGCGTTACGTCCAAAGTAGTTACTTCAATATGACCATAGGAATCCGAAGATTTGATTAAAGTAATTAATATTATGTCAACTCCATTGCTCCTTTTTGTCTTCGTGGCATGGCTTATAGTGAAGAACATCCTATGTAAAGGCACATATGCGGTATTGAGTGCGTTTAAACCAACAACTGCAAGTCAAATTTATATTGTGACTGTATCACCCTAAAATTCCAGATTGTTTTGATTTTGTTTTGATTGGCGACACGATAGGGCCGATTCGGTTGCATTTTTTGTGATCGCTTTTCACTCCTGGTGTTTTTATATTGTGAGTGTTAGATGGTAAAAACACAATATTTTCATAATATTAATCTGAACTTCGGGTTCCTGTGGTATATCTTCAGCATCTTCGTTGTTCCCTAGCCACATAATCCACATTTGGATGGCTATCATAGTCGAGCTTGTGCCTTTCTCTAAAGTCGTTGTCATGTATAACATGCGATTATTTATGTACCTATTAAACATCTGAACGTCATTAAGCTAAAACAATCCTTTGTGTCGAATATATGTATCGCAATAAGGTTTCTTGGAATAGGTTAAGAAACCTAAGGTGCTTCGATGGGTGTGTAGTGTTAAGCTTCATCGTAATACCCGCTACATCAGGTGGGGCTATAGCAGATTCATCGAGACATGGAGGCTGGACCAGACAAGCCAGTCGATGGTGGGGACCAGTTAAACCATAGCAACTCTTTACAATAATTAATATCCAAGCTTTCTCATTCAACTGACACACAGCTATCATACATCGAATGTAAACCGGCTTAGATTTAAAATAGCGACATTGATTGAAACGTCTGAAACTGGGTTCCTGTCTACGGATGTCTGTAAAATCGCACAGCGGCACCGCGTGACAACAGTCATGACAGTAGAGACAGTTAGATACCACATTCCAAAGGAATCCAATTTTCAAAAGTGCATACATAAATATGCTCGCTGTAACACGTAACAGAAATGCATGCCTTTCCAGTTGGACGGTATACGCTCGGGTCAACCATTTAACACAACTGCGAGTGTTGGCAAGTTCTTTCTCTTAACTCTTTTCCAATAGCCAAGACTTATCACGGGTACATTTAGCGAATCGGATCCTGTTCTTCGTGGTGTCAACACTTTAACCACGCTTTAACCACTAGGATACCCTACCACCCCAAGCAGAACCCTGACATATACCAGATTTTTGTAAAACTTAACACAGCGTCTAATTACTTTAATATTATTATTGTTATTTTAAATAGATCCCAAATCTCGTAATCCGAGACGAGATGGCAGCGGAACTGGGTGTGACCCCCTCCCGGTGGGACCTGATCAAGGCCGGACCCCGACTCGCCTACCTGTACTACTATGGGCCTGCCTTCCCCTATTACTACCGTCTGTGGGGGCCTCATCCCTGGTGTGGAGCTAAAAAGGCCATTGATGCGGCTCTGAGAGATGGGTACATGCCTACACCTGTTGGAAGGAATAAACCCCTTGCCCCCAAATCTGTGTGTTCATATGCGAATGTTGGATTGTCTTTTTTGGTTGTCATGGTGATTGCAGCCCTTGGGAAATACTTTGGAATGAATTTTTGGTTGTCAAGTTTCTAACGAGGTGACTACAGCAAGGGACCGACCATTTGTTTTGTATGGAAACTAGATATTTTTCAGCTATATTTGCAAATGAGAGATATGTTCTTAATTAAACTATGAGCCAAAATTTAAAAAAAGATAGAAGCATTTTGAAACTTTGTAAGTTTAGAAGAACACAATTTCTTCTTTTTTTCAACAATCTGAAACATAATTATTTTTTTCAAGCATTTTCTGGGACAATTTATTTTTTTCGATAAAATCACCCCCTCCCCTAAATCGGTCCCTAAGAGGTATCTTATACGTACATTTATGACACCGTGAACGCGTTTAATTTGTTTGTTGGTTATTGCAGCCATATATATATATATTGTATATATATTTTGAAAGTATTTTATATTTTCAGATGACCAAGTTTTATTTACATCTTATTTGTGTTCTTTAAGGTTGATACGCCATCCATTGACATGTCAAACACTATTGTCGTTTGTGAAAACAGAGTTGCTTATGATTAAGAATTTGTGAATAAATAACATTATATATCACTAGCCCACAGTTAATACACTATGTGTAGTTTTTATGTCGGAGTATTTTTGCATGTGCCTGTTTTTCCACCGTAAAGATACGGGGTAGACTACGTCTTCAACAACCCAGGTTTGACGTAAAAGGTGACTATGCTTGTCGTAAAAGGCGGCTAACGGGATCGGGTGGTCAGGCTCGCTGACTTGCTTGGTGCATGTCATCGTATCCCAATTGCGTGGATCGATGCTCATGATGTCAATAACTGGATTGTCTGGTCCAGCCTCGATTATTTACAGACCGCCGTCATATAGCTGGAATATTTCTGAGTGGGGCATTAAACAACAAACAAACAAACAAACAAAAATTTCACATTCTAGTCCATGAAAACATAAGGGGTCACAACGGTCCGACCATTCCATGCACCCGTCACAGACACGAGCTTCTCACAAGATAAAACACTGTACTTCATTACACATCATGGGCTCAGTCCTCACTACAGAACATATCCCCACAAATATTCTTGAACCTTAATTTCTTTTGTTCAGTATACATCTCATGCTCACATCATGCATGATAAAGTGTCTGTTAATCAAACATACCAGCACAACAAATGTATATTAATAAATATATCCTCACAACACAAATTAATCTGCCAGCTGTTCCTATTGGTTAGTCTCTAGCATCCCTCTACATCGTGTACAGCGTAATGCAATTATGTCGTACAATTCAGTCTGGCACTATAGGAATGATAATAATCATAGAAAGTGTCATTTTAAATATTAAAAATGTTATTGAAATATATCACGCTATGTATTGCTTTCAGTGCTATTTAGGACATCGGGGATATATACAACTTAACCCATGGTCGTCAGCAAACTAAAGCATGTATTTTCGAAAATATTACAATCGATGTTTTTCTCGTTCTGTTTTTAGCATTCGTCTGTAGCTTCCTGTCGTATGAAATATGTGTATCAAACATTCAATAAACATGGACATTCTGTCATGAATATTTATTATTTGTTATTTCATGATTCCAAGCTCATATAAATATGATAAATTAATATGATTGACACAGGTGTCAAGTGTATAAGGTATTTAAACCATAAACAGCCCCAAGGTGGTAAATGTCTGAGACCTGCATTACTTCGGGCTTTCCTCCCACATCAAGCTCCCACATGGCGTTAAACCCAACTCACTCACTCACTCACGACCAGAGATCCCATCCAAAGTATGTATTCAACAAACATCACTTATATAGAAGGCTTGGCACGTGAAGAATCTATCAGTATGAATAACATAATAAAAAAATGTTCACGATATACACGTTATATGACATATAGTATTGGCTGATCTGGTTGGGTAGACATCGATTGTTCCTCAATCGCCGAACACGAGTCTTTACGTATTAACTATGTAGTCAATCAAAGAAGCACGAAATGCCTGTTTCAGATTGTCATTCACGTATGAAACCTGTGGGACTTGCGAATACCCAAAATTCTTTACTGACACTCTTTATGTTTTTCATGAATGTACAACACAACCTAGAACACAAGATTCTTGATCTTCGGATGTATCAGCTTAAACAGTTTATTTTGACAAAAGTACACAATAGGATTGGACAAAAGTGATCCAATTCGTGACCCTCTCCTGATTGAAATATCAAAATATTGACATCGATGAAACTTACACGCTCCGCTTTATAACATCACTATCAATGTGCAAATATGTAAAAAGGTGATAGCTACAGCAGTGATAGTTTAGTTAACGGTGTGACGAACAAACACTAAATGAATAGATAAATACTTTATCTGTTGAAATTGGTAATAATCACGTCCGTAGAAACAGAAACATGGGAGTTCAACTTTGTTATTACAGTATACGAAATGATTATTGGAATCGTTCGGTTGCTAGAATGCATTTTTGAACAGAACTAAAAATCGAAATGATATGAAAAGTTCTAAAAGCATGAAATTTGATCAGATTAGTGTACAATTCAGCACTGAGGTGATCACAGTTAGCGTCTGAGCCTCGTCTGTAGACGTCTGTTGTTTTACTGGTTTTATTTGAAGTTTTTTATAAAGTGACTTCACTTCATTATCAGGAAAGAGTGAGTGAGTGAATATTGTTTTACGCCGCTTTTAGCAATATTCCAGCAATATCACGGCGGGGGACACAAGAAATGAGTTTCACACATTGTACCCATGTCGGGAATCGAACCCAGGTTTCGGCGTGACGAGCAAACGCTTTAACCACTAGGCTACCCGACCGCCTCCTTTCAAAACAGTTTGAATAAAGGAGACTTGAAAAGTGGTTGTGCGAACTAAAGGTACAACAATATTGTTTTTTGACGCAAATCATCGTCAGTAACAGAAGTGTTGGGAGGTAATAAAGTCTTTGATGAACAATGATTGTGGGCAACTTAATGCATCAATAGTTGTTTTTAAGGAGAAAAGAAACTTTTTTTATTAAGACAACACCTTTCCAGGTCGTGCCAAGTTTCGATATATTCTCTCGCGGGATGTGTAGGGTCAGTCACTGTCCTTGCTGCTTCTAGTTGAAATCGCTCAAATCGGTTATTTTATTAAGGGGGTACCGTTATCCCAGACTAATATTCTAGTATTGGTCTTGTGAAGGAAGTAGTGATTCTTGATAGTGTTGACTTCTTCACTTTGGGCTCAAGTAACCTTAATTGAGGCTGATTGTAAAATATCAATAATTTGTTGATACCATTAGTGTTAGGGGTTAGAACAGGATCTGTGCCACACTCTGTCGAAAGTTTTTGACACGACGCAAAAAATCACGGAAAGAAACATTTATGATCATCAAGCGATTAACATATTTGGTGAAATATTTGAACCAAATGGAAAGTTGTGGAACAGCTCGACACACAGCTGGTACTTATTTAATATATCCATGAAATAGTTGTACATTCTTTTAAAAACTAGGCATCTTTCCAAAATAAGGACATGACAGTTGCTGTTTCCAGTTCGATGGGTACCTGTCGGTGCCTAATGACATATTGAGAATAAAAACAATGTTTTTTAGTAGCCTGTGCTAAACATTGCCTCTATCACTACTTTTATTTCTAGATGATGACGTTATGAGATGTGTAATTTCATCCCTGCATACAATTAAACGTCTTTTTCATTATTACAGCTTTTATCAAATTGTGGTAGAAATGCCCATTCCGGAGCTACGTTTGAAACTAATACAAAATAACCGTGGATAATGGTCTGAAAATGCATTTGGAATACCCGCATCATAAGTGACCAAAGGGGGAATAGAGTTGATGAACTGGAAGACCTTCCCAGTAGGTATGTGGCTCACCTTGTGTGCTCAGTAACCCCTTAAAGTTCGTATAAAAATATAATAAGCCGTTTTCTATTTTTGTTATTTTATTTCTGTTATTTTTACTGTATGAAATCATTTTTTCCTGAATTTTGTATATGAAAACATTTACATTTGGGTATATTCCTTTATACAATTACCGTAATCGTCATTGCACTCTGACGCGAGGTGTTTCCGCCACAATGAAAACGCCAATAGAGCATCACGTACATCAATATGAAAATGGTTAGAAGTGAGTGAGTGAGTTTGATTTTACACCCCTTTTAGCAATATTCCAGCAATACCACTGCGGGTTCACCAGAAATGGGCTTCACACATTGTAACTATGTGGAGCATCGAACCCGGGACTTCAGCGTGACGACGCTTTCAACACTGACTACCCCACCACCCACATATTACTAGGAACAGAACCGAATCTCATATTCAGGAGGTGTTCAACAACTGTGAACAGCGATATCCCTATATAGAGTCAAGTGAATGTGACTAGTCACTCACTTTCTAGGGGCGGTCGGGTAGCCTAGTGGTTAAAGCGTTCGCTCGTCACGCCGAAGATCCGGGTTCGATTCCCGACATGGGTACAATGTGTGAAGCCTATTTGTGGTGTCCCCCGGCGTGATATTGCTGGAATATTGCTAAAAGCGGCGTAAAACCTCACTCACTCACTGTCTAATATTTAGTGAGGGGGTCAATCATGTCAAACGCTGTTTCAGCAACCCAACATCTATTTGAGGTGAGCTTTGATGAGGAGTTATGAGTATCACGTCACGTGAAAGCTGTCGTTGTATATGATGCATAAATACTGAATACTGTCTCTCTTTGAAGAAATGTCAAAATCTCAGGCTAAAAATACTGTGCGGTAAAACGGAAACACGTACTGTCTCTCTTTGAAGAAACACTATGTTCCCTACAAGATAAATGCCCACAATATTCCAAACAAAACAGGTAAAATAATTAGCCCCAACAGAAAATGCTTATTTGTTTTAATCTCCGGCACTTTACGAGGCTGTTTTGCAAAGCCCCCAAGCTGTGCCTCTGCGCATGCTCGTGTTGCTCCGTCCCAAGCTCCGGGGCCAGTGAGGCGATGATGCACGGTGAAGGCAGGGCCGAAGTAATACTGGAATGCAACAGTTGGTCCAAGCTTCAAGACCTCCAACAAAGATGGCTTCACCCCAAGTTCCGCAGCTATTTCGTCCCTAAACTGAACATTCGGAAACTGGAACAGAGGAGAGAATAATGAGGGTTAACGCTGCAGGGTTGTTTCAGTTGCATCACGACGTGACAAAAAGCGACACTGATCGGAGACCTTTACTATTTTTGGTGACGCGGGAATGCGTCAGTAATTCCTGCAATAAGGTGAGGTGAGGTGAAATTGGGTTAAACGTCGCGTCCAAGGTTATTGCACTTATATAGCGACGTGCATACACGTGTATGTGTGTGTGTGTGTAGGGGGGGCTGCTTGTTCCAGTCCGGACTGATGTCCATTTATAGTGCTAGCTCACTGTGATACCTTGCCGCAGTTTAACATGAATACCCCACTTAGACACAGTATACTGACTCCGAGCCGACGAGTCCTGGTTTTAGCCCCCTAATGCCGAGCGCCAGTGTAACAAAAAGTACAATCTTTTAACGTCTTTTGGTATGACGCGGCCGGGGATCGAACCCCGGACCTTCCGCTCTCCGGGGGGACGCTCTACCACAAGACCACGGAGGCGGTCTCCTGCAATAAGGACACATACATAGATTGTGTTTTTGGCCGTCAAAAGGCTATGGCCAAAGGTGATACTCCCTGTATTTTTCGTGACATTTCTTCGCCAAAAAAGCTTCACAAAAGTTTCAGTTTGTAGAAATATTCCAGCTATGTCAAAGGCGAGGTAGGGGTGGGGGGCACCAAGATTAATGCCTTATATCTATGTGGGAATCGAACCCAAGGTGTACTGGGTGACGAGCCAACGCTCTAATCACTGGGTTGATCTACCACACCTGAGTGAGTGAGTTGGTTTTAACGCCGCTTTTAACAGTATTCCAGTTATATCACGGCGTGTCAGCTTAATGTGGGAGGAAAGCCCGAAGTGATGCAGGTCTCAGACGTTTACCACTTCGGTGAAACCCACGAGCACGGGTATGGTGCAGACAAACCAAGAAACATAATCGAGACGAACCGGGATTCGAACCCACAATCATAGGTTTCTGGCGTGCCCAAGGGACGCAATTAGCTGTTTATCGTGTCACGAAAAGAAATCAGTTCCTTACATCAAAATGATGTATATGCTTTCAGTTGATATCAATATACTCAAACCCCGTATCAATATACTCAAACCCCGTATCAATATACTCAAACCCCGTGGTTGTCCTGCACCACGGCTGTGAGAATATATGTATTTTATGAAAACAACCCAATCTAGATTTATATAAAAGCAAGTCTAGCCAGCTAAGTCAGCTCTTTTCAACAAATCGGCATCAGGAACATTAACTGTATTAATTTTAGAGGAGAGAAATGTGTTGTGTGATTTCATAGACCATACGTTAGTTTAACCTGGTGTGGATTCCACATTGTAATAGGGCCCCAGTAACCTTTGTCTTAAAAGGGTTAAAAAAGAATTGGTTGTCAGGCTCGGTGACTTGGTTGATCGCATATCACCGTAGGCCGATGGCGAGTGACGTTGCCTTTAACATCAATCACTGGTGAGTCCCGACGAATATTTACAACCCGTTGTCACACAGCTGGAATATTGCTGGACGTGGCTTGAAACAACTTACAAATAAACAACATACGGGCTAAGCATAACACAACGCGTACCGTAACCTACCGAATATTTGTAGTACCCATATGTTCGCAGGAAGCTATTATTCCATCGATCAATATTTTTCAGCATCACAGATTTAGTAGGAAGTTTGTGTTTCTTGGAGACCACTCTTGCAGCGAGCCGTGCTTGAAGCTCAGCTACGGGTACCAGGGAGCCTTGGGTTCTGAAAAAGCCAATCATGGCCATCGTCGCGTGTGGAAGATGAACTGGAAACACCATCTGGTACCATTCCAGTTTCTCCTCACCTGAAAGAAGTCAGTCAGTCAGTTTGGTTTAATGCTGAATTCAACAGTAGATTGGGGCGGTCGGGTAGCCTAGTGGTTAAAGCGTTCGCTCGTCACGCCGAAGACCCGGGTTCGATTCCCGACATGGGTACAATGTGTGAAGCCCAATTCTGGTGTCCCCCGCTGTGATATTGCTGGAATATTGCTAAAAGCGGCGTAAAACCATACTCAGTCAGTCAACAATAGATCAATTTTATCTTGGCGTGCCATGTGAGAGGAAAGCCCGACGCTTACGACTTCGGTGACACCATCCAGCATGGGAATGGTGCTAACTTACATCGAATATAATCAATAACTCTCGAATTTGAACGAACGATCACATGTTTCTGTCACGCCTACTACTACTGTCACTACAAGATATGGTATAATACTATCAGGGTATTATCTACGTACTTGCTCCCACGACAGGGTCGAGAAATGGTAGATTCCGTTGCAATCCTGTTGCAAATATTACACCATCAAGGTCCGAGACCGTTGTCCCATCGTCGAATTCCGCATGTCTCTCGCCAAGTCTCGCGAGATTTCCCACGATTTTAACTTTCCCGCAAACAATCCTCATTTGAAGTTCATCATTAATCATGACAGCGCCGACAGGGGCGGGTATCCCCGAGTACAGCTTGTATTTCACATGATCAAGTCTTGCGTTTGCTTTTCTCATGATGGCCTTGCCAAATAAGGATTCCGGAAGTGGTAACATAGTGAAAATACGCCTCAGCATAAAGTCCAAGGGAATACCACCGTCCTGACATCGACCCAGTATCCATGTTCCTCTCCCAACAGATAAATAGACCTGTTGAACAGATGGGTACATATCGACATGAAATATGGAATACAATGTTAACATTGTACATAGAACATAGATTGGTAATTTTCAAATATCGTCAAATATATAAAGATAAACTGGCACTTGAGCAAACAAGCCGGTAGCAAACAGAAATTACCTTATATAGCGCAAAACATCCGATCAAAAAGCAAGTTTCTTTGCTGTTTTGGATGGGCAGTAGGAAAGTTTATGAAAGCGTTCGCTCATCATGGAGTGAGCCAGGTTTGATTCTTCATATGGACATAATGGTGACTCAGTCGAGATATTGCTGAAATTTGCTAAAACCAATTCCAAGAGCAATCAATAAATGAGAATATTTTACTCCAATTCGATACTCAAGATTTGTCAAGCCTCCTAATGGAGGTAAGCTCGCGTGGTCTTGGGAATGGAATCGCGTGGAGGTTTCTAAATTCTACAGTTAGAGAGAGCGAAGCATTCGAAGCAATATATCTGATTTTTCGAAAACGAACGTTAACGGGCAGTTCCGAAAGGAGATAAATAAAACTGATTAAAATTCTGTGAGATGTTTTTCTGAGATCTTAATGTTGAGAGGTATCGAACTGGAGTGTAAGATCTGATTTTAATGAGATCGACCAATCAATCAGATTGTCTGATACACCTTCAGAACCTGAGATTAGGAAGCAATACTTGATATGGAAAGCCCTTGTAAATTTACGTGCGTTAACATTAAGGGGACTACAATCACAATAACGTACTTGCTGAGCGTGTCTACTGGTATCGGTGGCCACGTCCCCAGCTGAGTGGGCATTGCCTGTAGACAAATGAAACCTTGATAGGGCAGTATTCAGTAGTGCGTTGTTAGTACGGAATAGCCACGGCTGGGAAGGGATGGTGACACATTGTTTGTAGTGGTTATCGGTCACAGTGGTAGTGAGTAAATGGTGTGTGGTTATTGCATCAGTTATTAAACAAGTGGGGCAAGGGTGGACGCTGTGCAAAGTTGCATTCCTTTGGCGCGCAAGAATCCCATGATTGTGGGTTCGAATCCCTGGTCGCCCACATTATGTTTCTAGGTTTGTCAGCATTATACCCATGCTCGTGGGTTTCACCAAAGTGGTAAACGTCCGAGACCTGCAACACTTCAGGCTGTCCTCCCACATAAAGCTGACACGCCATGATATAACAGGAATATTGTTATCAGCGGCGTTAAACCCAACTCACATATTATTTAGTGTATTTGTCAAAGCTGTGTTTTGACTGATGAAGCAGTGCCAAGGGATGAAATGTAGGAGCGATTAGGAGCCTGTTCTAAATATCGTGGTTCAGTTACCCATATGTGTCAATGTGTGAAGCCCTTTCTTTTGCGTGTTTTTGTTTTTTGTTTAACGCCGCATTCAGCAATATTCCAGCTATATGACGGCGGTCTGTAAATAATCGAGTCTGCACCATACAATCCAGTGACTGACATCATGAGCATCGATCCACGCAATTGGGATACGATGACATGCATCAAACACGTCAGCAAGCCTGACCACCCGATCCCGTCAGTCGCCTCTTACGACAAGCAGAGTCGCCCTTTAAGGCAAGCATGGGTTGCTGAAGACGTATTCTACCCCGGATCTTCACGGGTTGAATCCCTTTCTTGATGACCCCAGTCATGATGCTGCTGGAATATTGTTCAAAGCGGCGTAAAACCCAAATCACTCACTGAACGTAATGATTTTTGAGCCAGTAGCTTCAGCTGTGGAAACAGCACTAGATGTAGTGTTAGTGCAAGAGTTAGTGCAGCTGTAGATGCACGAGATTGCAGCAGGAGAAGAAGCAGTAAATAGTGGTTAATTATGATTAATAATATTGAACCTGTGAGTGTAATTTGCGTTATATCAAAAAGATAAAAAGCCAACTGGTACTTACCTCGTTAAGATTATACTTCATTAAATTACATAATATAAAAAAAAAATCATTTATCCAAACAGACAAAAATATAGAGTATAACATATCTATGTCGAGGTCCTTCTCATCCATGTCATAACAGTTAGAGAGCAGCACAAATTTATGTTAATGATGGCACCTGAAGTGAAAACTATCATCATATTAATCCCCATTCGTTCAGTAAGGATGAGGAGGATGCATATATTTAGTAACAGAATGTTGACACACTTCCACAGAGGTGGCCTGATGCTGCACAGGTGCAATTGCCAGCTAGGGATAGAGGTAGACTCTTCCAGGACTAACCCTGTGTGCGTTCAACAGTATAATAGATACCCAGTGTTTGTCGTTAGAGCTGACTAAAATGAGGGTCGGGTGTTGCAGTTTGTGACATGATTGATTTGGGAGTTTTCAACCATCGTGCCTGACAGTGTGGACCGTTGCTCATACTATCAATCTTCGGTTTATCGACCCAGGATCGATTACCAATAGGTGAGGTGAAATTGTTTTAAAAATTGCGTTTAAACTATTAAGGAAGAATATTAACGACTGTCTTACCAACAACAAGTATCCTCTGGTTCTGATATTTGGACCCTGATTTGAATGTCTGAGAATGTTCAACAGTTCCTGCAAACTTCTCAACACCTTCGATGTTGGGAGTATAAGCCTGGGCGTTGACACCAGTGCAGACAAACACCGCAGCGAATGTCGTCCACTTCCGGTCGCCATTTACTTCCGTCTCAATGTCCCAACTTCCGGTGGTTTCATAATCGTTGCTTCTAGTTACAGTATGGATCTTTGTGTTAAACTGAATGTATTTCTCCAGCCCAAATGTCTCCGCGTAGCTTTTCAGGTACGGATACATATGTTGTCCTGTCGGGAATGGCGGAGCATCCTCGGGAAAGGGGAAGTCACTGAAGCACGTCAGTCCCTTGTTCGTGTTGAGTATAAGCGAATCGTACGCCCTTGCACCCTGACCTGGCCTGAACTCTTCAGTGACGTACCATGTTCCGCCTGCAAAATATGGACAGTTAATGTTGAACAGTATTTTAGTTATAAAACGGAAGTGATGCAGGTCTGAGACCAATCTCATTAAAATCTGATCTTAGTTCTCGCTATCGCTAAACAAAGATCTGAGGACATCCCATTAAGGGTCACGTCAGAACGACCTTTCATCCAACAACTCAGAGCGTCGCTTACCAGATCATGAAAGTGACAGTTGGAATGTGTTTTCTAATCATGCAACGACGAAATATTAAACACGGACGACAGAAACGGGTTTTACGATTATATCCATACAATCTAGGCCATCTATAAGCCATTCCAGAACGTTCTTGTTATCAGTTTTAACTTTTTTTAATCGAGAATACGTCAAAATATGTTTCGAAGCGTAGTCGCCAGTCTGAAACTAGTGTCGTAAAGCTCGAGAAAGCTGCCTTCTGATTTGCTAATGTCGATTTCTTGTCAGTCATTTCATTGGTCGGTCAAAATTCGCGAAAGGTCGTTCTGACATGACCCGTAATGGGATGTCCTCAGATCTTTGTTTAGCGGTAGCGAAAACTAAGATCTGATTTTAATGAGATTGGTCTCAGACATTAACCACTTTGGTGAAAACACCAAGCAAAGGTATGGCGATAACAAACCTAGAAACATAATCAGGGCGAATCAGTGTTTCGAACCAATGATCAAAGGTTTCTGGCAAGCCAAGGGGACGCAACTCAGCACAGCGAATTGCGGCCCTTGAGATTGAGACACCCGCGCACCCGAACATCCAACAACGTGCTAAATCAGTTCGTTACATCCGAAATAGTCATTGCCCGGAGTAGTAATGTTCATGAAATATCCAGAGGAAACAGATGTGTGTTCGTAATATCCGACAGTTCTTCGCTACATCCAACTTCGACTTAATGGTACAAATGTACATGAATGTATTATATGAGCGCACAGTATTTCTATCCATCATTATTCAATATGTATGCACATTTAGGACATGGATTTATATCTATGCACTAAACAGAGACCGATCGCCGACGGGTTTTGGTTTCAGGTACTGGCAGTAAACCTCGAGTTCCCCGAATTTCGAGACAAGCGGAGTACCTTAACAAGTACCCGTGGCCCACTGCATGGGGATCCGCCGAACCATTCATTAAATGAGTGTAGGCGTGTCGGCGTTACATCAGGGCGGACAGAGTAAGGACTACTTACCAATGTCACTGTGTTGTTCAAAACAGACAGGCTCCAGTCCCTCCTCCAGACAGGACTTGACAGACGCCAGACCCGCAACCCCGGAACCGATCACAGCCACACGTAGACCCGCCATGTCAGGGATCCCTGTTCGTCAAGACACGCTCTACTTCTCGACTTCTTAATGTCACCTGAAAAGAAATATAGAATTTCTAGATGTCCAACCGACTTGACGCCATTTCCAAGAGTCTAAGCTGTTTCTGCTGACCTTGAGTTTTTGTGCAGGATGCTTAATTTGACTAAGTTACAACTATGCATCCAACAGAAGTTGTGTCGTTTTAGTTTATACAGGAGTCCTGTTTTCAAGTATTAGCCTCTGTTTAACAAACATAACTTCAGACAAGGGGGATAACTGGAACCCTTCCTTCAGTCAACAGGGGAGATAACTTGAAATACCCCATACACTAAACGATCATGAAAACATATAGAACAGAAAAATAGTAGATCTTTTATTGAAGATGAATCCCATGTACTGCGTGTATGTGAACGTTATTCAGCTCTAAGAGGCATGTATCTGAAACAGCATATCAAGTCTCAAACTGTAACAGCTTTTGAAAACTTTGATGTTGTATATATAACACATGTTAATATTTCTATTAACCCTCACGGCTAAGAGAAACTAAATCGATGACTTCATTGTCACGCTGCTGTTCATGCAATCAAACAGAATATCTGTATTATGGGCCTATGGCCTTTTTACTGAAAAAACTCTTCACTTCTGAAGCCGAATTACTTACATCATCAATACTTTTTATGAAATAATATACGAATTAATGAATGAAAGATATTTCATTTAGATTCATATTCCCGTTATTATATTATTTGAAATTCCATCAGTATACAACAGCGACAATTTAATTAAGTATCATATCAACATGTCCTGTTAGCTCTGCCTGTGAGCCTGTGTGAGCCTGTGGGCCTCTGCAACACCGGTACTTGACTACACCCGGGACAAGTTGTTAGATCATTACAGATGTATTGACGAACGGATTAAATTGCAAACGTACCTCCCAAATTACCGACTTCGAATCGACTGTACTTGCACCTTGACGCGAAGGACTTCAGGCATTGACATATAGCTTGTATGAACCTGTGACGACACGACGATCAATAGCAAACCCTGTTCCTCGAAAATATCCTGCACTAAGACGCGGAAGGAAGAGGTCGTTGTCCTGACGACTCGCCCAATATGTTTCTGCTAACCTAACATGACACCGTATACGGCAACTAAAGACACACTGACGAATTTATAATGCCGAAAAGTTTACACTTCCTGGTACCCAGATCGCACATTTCATGTCAAAATAAAAACTTGACACTAACAACCGTTGACTTCATGGGTCAAAGGGAGACTACTCTTCAAACCTAGTTGATAATTCTAACTATAATCTATTTCAATAAAGTCACGAACTAGATCTAAAAAATATTAATGTCCTTCCACGTCAAAATTAATGATATTAAAACACAAAACAGTGTCGAATAACGAATTTCTGTTCCAGAATTTGCCAGGGAAATATGTGAGGTGGCTGTTGGAAAATCCAAAATGTCTGTTGCTGAAGGTATACGGTCTCATATTAGGTGAGTAACAACCATCTCGTTTTATTGACTGACGGTATACGGGTTCATGTGGGGTTAGTAGTTGTGCTCTGATTGGTCAATCTCTCTTTGAGGCATATTAATTTTAGCTATGGTGTCTTTAGTTGCCGTATACGGTGTCACATAAGGTTAGCAGAAACATGTTGGGCGCGGCCTAATATGACACCGTACACGGCAACGAAAGACACCATAACGAATTTATTGTGCCGGCAAGTTTACACTATTTGGTATCTTTATCACATATGTCATGTTAAAATGAAAATTTGACACTTACAACCGTAATTTACAGTAAATGATAGTTCATATGTTTCCGATACAACGCTTTAATATAAACCCAAACGTTAACAATGGAATGTATAATGGATGAAATGTGAACGTTTAAACAAGTATTACAACCAAAATTGATAAAATTATCATACAAATGCCTGTTCAATAGATAGATAGATAGATAGATAGATAGATAGATAGATAGATAAACTTGTGACGTGGCCCGAAAACAACTGTAGTTATAAGTTTACATCTAAGAGATACTATCCACCATGTGATTCAAGATAAGCTTGTTAATTACCGCAGATATCGCTTATCATCGGTTACACTATACCGCTTGTCACTCAGGAATTTATGGTCAGTGGTCCGTACGTATTCGCCGTCACGCAAAAAATTATTTTCAATCGGGGTACTTATGTCCAGTGGACAGTACATTCGTAGTCACGCAGATACCCTTGTCGACCCGTGAAGATCGTAAGACCCATGCTTGTCGTAAGAGGCGACTAACGGGATCGGGTGATCAGGCTCGCTGACTTGGTTGATACACGTCATCGTATCCCTATTACGTGGATCGATGCTCATGATGTCAATGACTGGATTGTCTGGTCCAGACTCGATTATTTACAGACCGCCGTCATATAGCTGGAATATTGCTGAATGCAGCGTTAAACAACAAACAAACAAAAAGATACCGCTTGTCAATCAGAGTACTTATGTCCAGTGGTCAGCATATTCGTAGTCACGCAGATACCGCTTGTCAATCAGGGTACTCGTGTCCAGTGGTCAGCATATTCGTAGTCACGCAGATACCGCTTGTCAATCAGGGTACTCGTGTCCAGTGGTCAGCATATTCGTAGTCACGCAGATACCGCTTGTCAATCAGGGTACTTATGTCCAGTGGTCAGCATCTAAGCTGTGACGCGGGTAACTTTTTAAACGAAAACAGTTCCTCATTGGTCATTGTGGAACGGAAAATAACCCTTATCTGCAGTTAAATAAACAACGTTTACATAAACGTGACAAACATTACCTGTATAGCGGCCACTGCGTCCTCCAAGTGTTGATGTTGCACCGTCAACCCTCATTAGATCATGAGTGAATGTGTCTTATGAGGCTGTCTGATTAGAGACAACTCGAGGTCGGTCACGCGCTCGTCCCGTGATGGTCCGAAAACACATGCAAATGGCCCCATGCAACTCTTTGAACTGATGCCCTAAATGTGTGCATCAGCTTTGTAGATGTCCTCGGATTTTTCAAGCGTATCTGCAAATTTAAGAAGTATATCCGCAGATGACACGATATCTTTCCCCAGATAATCCCCAACTGAAACGCGAAACCAACTATTTTGATTGTTTGTAATACAAGATTCAACTTCATACATGGAATTTAATTCATTGAAATATTGCAATCAGTGAATATTTGATCAAACCTCGAGTTCCCTGTCTCAAAACGTTCTGACTGGCTTGCTCTTTTGGCGAGTTTTCTTATTTTTATCCGTAATCATCATGACACACAATAAAGTATTGTATACACAATAATGTATCTTTTTCACCCGAAAATCTGTACTTTTGTGTATTTAGGTAAAGACGACATTGTTGTTATCAACATAGAAATGGGACGAAGTCCCAGTCATAAGTGACTCGAAATGTGGGGTAAAGTACAGATAAATGACCTCGCTTCGTCTCGGTCTACTTAATTGCGCCGTACTGCGCCATCAAGTGCCTGAAATTAAGACTAACATCTGCTACGTTAGTTCGATGTAGCCAGCTTCGTACGCAGCATCCGTCAGCAGGATACTTTACCCATACTGTCATGTGAGGAAGAATCTGCAAAACGTAAACAATATTCCATGACAACAAACTCACCACGCCCACTCAACTCGATGAGCAGACCGGACGAAGAGGAGATTTAGTCAAAGGGAAGTAACTCACATCTCTTGTTGAAATTCACGATTTGGTTATTGAGTTTGCAAAGCCAGTTCGATTCTCAACGTCATATTTATCATGAATTATTTTACAATTTTAATGTTTGAAGTGTTTTGACGTTCTCTGTTTACTAAGGGATAATGCTGTCGATATTAAGTATTCTTGTAAGAAATATGAACTTAAGCTAAGAAAGTACAAAACAAATGATTGATGTGTTACACTTTCTGACACTAAGGCTATTACTGTAACAATATTACACATATGTGTCTTATTAACACGAGACGTTGATATGATTTTACAGTATAAAATAAAATAGTCAAGGGGAAGGGTCGGGATGCAACAACCGCATGAACAGCTATCACAGGAAGCGGACATAAAAGAACTATTACACGACCTTCACTCTTTCACTGCGCTTCAAATGTGGTGTCCAGTTTTGTCTCAATTTTGTAATGATTGAGTGACGTGTGTGTGTGTGTGTGTCAGACTAACATGTAGTCTCCGAAATGAACTAATTTTACAGAAAAAACAGTTGTTAATCTCTCTCTGTGTGTGTGTGTCTCTCTCTCTCTCTCTCTCTCTCTCTCTCTCTCTCTCTCTCTCTCTCTCTCTCTGTCTCTCTCTCTCTCGATCGATCGATCGATCGAATGTTAAACTCGGACACAGTATACTAATCCCCAGCCGACCAGTCCTTGTTCCATGCTCTTAATAACTTGCAATGACTTTTGGTATGATGCGGTCGGGAATCGAACCACCGACCTTCCGCTCTCCTGGCAGACGCTCTATCCACTGCACCACGCTTTAGGATAAGAACCTCCATCAGACATTCCTTGAAATGACTGTTCGATTCCTGTTCCTATAAACTCTAAGTCCGTAAAACACTGACAAGAAAACAATACTCAACGGTAACAACCGCCTTTATTAGGTGAGTGAGTGAGTTTAGTTTAACGCCGCATTAAACATTATGTCAGTTGTGTCATAGCATGTCATCGGGCATTAAGAATATGAAAACATGAAAATAATATTTCCTTACACAATTAACAATTAATGACTTTTCCGTTCATAAGAATGTGTTCTTGCTATCGACCACTGGTTTCTATATTGGCGCAATGTTACAGTTGTAACAGTGAGGCAACATTTTAACTTAACAACAAACACAACGTACTGTAAACGTTTAAGATTTGTTTGTTTGTTTGTTGCTTAACGCACCACTCAGCAATATAACAGCTGTATGACGGCGGTCTGTGAATAATCGAGTCTGGACCAGACAATCCAGTGATTGACATCATAAGCATCGATCCACGCATTTGGGATAGGATGACATGCATCAACCAAGTCAGCGAGCCTGACCACCCGATCCCGTTAATCGCCTCTTTCGACAAGCATATTCGCCTTTTAGGGCAGGCATGGGTTGCTGAAGACCTGTTCTCGTTTCAGAGACTATGCCGGGCGCTTTGGGTGTAACGGGATATCATATTGGAACGACAAATAACATTGATCATCTACGCGATCTCCAACAAGCAGCGTGCAGATTTCTCCCATACATATTTCCCTTGACAGGCTGACTTCTTCACACGTGAACGCTCCTTGCTTCACCCGTGTGAAACGTAAACACCATTTTTCACAAACCGTTCTTTCATAAAGGCTTTTTTTAACTGGTCATTCAATCTTTATTCAATGAAAAGGAAAGGAAAGCCGACGACTGTTGTGTTTGTACAGCCAGGCGACTGATTGTTATCAGACTTGGCGTGACGACGTAAGACATTTTCTTTCCCTGGGATATGAGCCAGAAGTCGAGAGGTGCAACAAGTTAGAGTGACCGGCGCTGATTCAATGACGTAATTTGTCCCCTTATGAAAACAGGCGTGTCAGTGTAAAGAATCAGTTCGTGGTTGATGGATGGAAAATCATGCAGTGCACACGTGAAGTTGTACTTATACCGAGAGTACATTCACACACAAAAGAATCCGATGTTATTTGAACACAAATACTGCACACATACACTGAATGGCTTTCTCTGGAACTTATAATGATATGCTTATTAACATAAAACAATATGAATAGATGCAGTACTAATAGCAGCAGTAGCTGCAGCAGTATTTATAACAGTAATAGCATCAGTTGTAGTGGAAGTAGTTAAATCAATAGTAGTAGTAGTAGTAGTAGTAGTAGTAGTAGTGGTGGTGGTGGCGGCGGCGGTAGCACAAGCAGTGGTAGCGGTAGCAGTGGCAGCGGTGGTGGTAGTTGGAGCGGTAGTGGTAGATGGAGCGGTGGTGGCGGCGGTAACACAAGCAGTGGTAGCGGTAGCAGTGGTAGTGGTAGCAGTGGCAGCGGTGGTGGTAGTGGGAGCGGTGGCGGAAGCAGCAGTGGTGGTGGTGATGCTGCTGCTGCTGATGATGATTCATTATAAATACTACACCAGCTGATATTTAAACAAATGTATATCCTTTACTGACGTGGGCATAGGTCCTACACCAGCTGATACTTAAACAATATATCCATGTGTATATACTTCCTGCTGACAGAGACAGATGGGTGATACCACACTGGATGATGTTAAACCACGGATGCTGAAACTTGTGTACAACTGCACGTCTGTATATATGCATCTAGAAGTTTAAGTACCATTGTCCTATAAGCACAACCATACACTTGAACCCTCTCCAGCCAGCGTACTGTCACGACATCGTTCCCTTTGTAAACAAACAAAACCGAATGTGTTTCTTTTCACGTTCCGCAAGGTAGTTCAAACTCGGTATCGGGTTACTTGGTGTAGGGCGCTTGGTAACAACGATGTTATTATCTGAAAGATAATTACGCGGGCTTTATATGGTAGTGTAAGTACCCAAACTACTGACCCGTCAAGTGAAGGCAAACCTACATCAGATGAACCACGGAACACGTACCTTTAAATACAATAAAACATATTAACTCATGTATCTACGGAACCATTTTAGGGCCACTTGATTTTCTTTTCTTGAAGTTTATTGATAATGAGTTTAATTTCAAGAATCTATTTTAAAATCTTAAGATACTAAGGTGATTTTCCAAGATACAATCTTTGAAATTTCAAGTTAAAATCTTAAAATTTCAATTTAGTTTCTTGAAATTTCAACTTAGTATTTTGAAATTTGAATTAAGTATCTTGAAACAGTTGAAAATGTTACAAACAAATGGTCCTAAAAGGCTTCTTCCGTTTGTATCGGCCCCGGAGGATACATGGGTCAGTATCGTTTTATATTTTTTTTAAAGTTACGAATTCCTGCAGCTGAGCCAATGTCTACAAAATCAGCTGGAGACACCCTCGTTGTTGATTTGTTATTCTCGTTAAGGGCTCGAAGTTTGTTTTTGCCAACTTTGAAACTGGATTGATAAACGCGCTTTGGATGAGTTTGGTGAAGATGGTAGATAGGTTTAGCTACAGTAATTGCATGAACGGGGAAGCGGGGAGGCTTTGCATCTGCTGACTTACTTTGAGTATTCTGGTCAAATCTCCAGAGATTAAGAATGATGAATGTGTGTCAAATGAAGATTATTGTCTGGAATATTAACAGAGTTCCGACACCTCTAGCATATGCATGCTAAGAAAGGTATGCATCTAGAAAATGTCATCAGCGCCTGTGCGATAGATGAGGGTTTCTCTGTTGTGATTTTAGATGAATGCTGTACGTCGCTAATGGAAGGGTACTCACGAAAACAGTTGTGTAGTTTAGTGTAATCGAAACTCAAATTGGAAAGTAAACTCATTTTTGGGGTACAATGTGTGAAGCTCATTTCTTGTGTCCCCCGACGTGATATTGCTGGAATATTGCTGAAAGCGGCGTAAAATCTCACTCACTCACCCATAACTGTACGTCCCTAGATATCACAACACTAGGGGGCACGGGTGGCCCAGTCGTCTTAGTCGCCGCGATTCGCTGTGCAGAGTTGCGTCCCTTGGGCACGCCAGAAACCTATAATTGTGGGATCGAATCCCGGTTCACCTCGATTATGTTTCTAGGTTTGTCAGCACCATACCCGTGCTCGTGGGTTTCACCGAAGTGGTAAACGTCCGAGACCTGCATCACTTAGGGCTTTCCTCCCACATTAAGCTGACACGCCGTGATATGAGTGGAATACTGTTAACAGCGGCATTAAACCCAACTCACTCACTCACTCACTCACAACAGTAGCCTGTCTCACAGTCCCTGAACAATATTAATTTCGTTTTCGCCCAACCCTTACTGTACTTCTATATCCCTAAATGAAGCAAGTCTAGATTTTCCACAGGTTCACGTTCAATTTAATGTAGTTGCTTGTTTCTGTCAAAATTATATATTTTAAGAGACTAAGCGTTATTCTATCACAACAGCCCCGCCGTGTAGTTGTGTAGACTAAAATTTGAAATGAAAAATGATTTGAGGTTTATCACAGATTGTCTTGTAGTTCTGCAGGAGTTAAATGAAACTGTTAACTAACTCTAGCTGTGCAGGTGTTTTTAGAAGTCTATATTTCCTCTCACGTCCAAATCCTATACTACAAGAAGCTCCATGGTTGCCCCAAAACAACCGTTCCCCCAAAAAACAATCTGGTATCTATCTCCAAATATAACTTTATACCCACCATTCACGTCACACCAATATAAAACGTTAGCCCTTTAAAATTTATCATGCACAAGAAAGCTCCACCAATCGACGGCTTGATCAACTCGATCTACTTATCTTTAGTGTAAATATAACGGATTCGCGACCCGATTACCAGAATGCACCATTCTTGTTATAACACACAGCCATGTAAGCAAATACTATTCCACTGTTGGTATAACACGGCGGCGTTAAAATTAGCGATAACTATCAAGAAAATTAGCAGTGTGTTGAGAAGAGTGTTATGTCGGGGGAGTTTGTCGTATACGACTATGCGCGTTAAAGCGAAGTTCATGTCGCCTCGTTGATTGTGGGAGGAATGGAAGTTCGTGGGTAGTTGTGAAAAAGTTAGTCAAGTCAATATCGGACTAAATACTCAATCAACAACGATGTCGCTGGATAGAAGAGAAGTAAGGAGAAGAAGGTCTTCGTCCTTCCGTCTGTCATTCAGGAAGAAAAACAGTGAG